GTAGAATACATTGTTGAACATTCGTAAGGAGCTATTACGTCGGAGTCTAGGATGATGCAAGTTGAAGGATTCAGATCTTTCACTAGTGGGTGCAAAAATCCAAAAATCCAAAAATCCAAATTCAAATTGCTAGCTTTCAACTTGTTCTCTTTTCTAAGGACTTGGAAGCAGAACACAAGGTCCAAAAGTATGCGCCGATGGATGAGGGTCTTAAGATGAAACTTAGCAAGGCGAGCTTCATACTCAGGGGGAGAGGTTCCAGGCAATGTGCGCCTCCACAGAAGACGTGTGAACAATTGCTGCACCTTTTCAATTCTTCTAACATCTTTCTTTCGGGATGGCGACCACATTTGTGAGCAGTACTCTAAATGAGGAAGCACAAAAGCCTTGTAAAGCCGAATCAAAATATTATCTGAGGTTGCACTTGTGTTGCGAAATAACAAAAAAGGGAAGAATAAGCTTTGTGAATTGCCATATCAATATGCTTAGAGAAATTGAGCGAGTTATCCATCAAGACTCCCAAGTCCTTAACAACATCACACACCTTCAATATGTGATCGTTTAGGCGATAGGGAGTCTCGGGCATTTTTCCAAGATGAAGGACAGAACATTTAGAAAGATTAATGGTCAAGTTCAACGGTCAGCCCATCTCTGTTCATCAAGGGACCTCTGCAAAGCACCCTGAACCTCTGAGGCATCGCTGGCATCATAAGCTCCGTACACTTTGATGTCATCAGCATACATTCGGATATGAATGCTAGGTGATGTCCTGAGCGCACAAGGTAAGTCAAATGTATAGAACAGAAAAAGCAAGGGAGCCAAGACACCACCCTGAGGGACACCACTAGTGCAACAGTAACTGTCGGAAAACTGATGACCGATCTTAACAGTCATTTCACGGTCTTGTAAGTAGGATCCCAACCATGACAAGAGATTACCACCGATACCACTTTTGTTCATTTTAGCTAGTAGCTTCTTATGGCAAACTTTATCAAAGGCTTTTGACAGATCCACATAAACTATATCAACCGATTTGCCTTCACTGGTTGCCAGGCTCCACTCGAACACACTATCAACAAGATTTGTTGTGGTAGAAGCTCCAGTAAGAAATCCATGTTGCTCTTCAGGGATAAAATTGGAAAAATTTAGCCATTCTAATAACTTCTCACGTATAATTTCTTCCATAACCTTAACGGGTGTGGGAAGTAAACTGATAGGACGAAAGTTATCAATCAGGGAAACACTTTCAATTTTTGGAATGGCCGTTACTAGAGCTTTTTTCCACAAAGTAGGAACTTCTCCCAACAAAGTAGAGATGTTGAAAATATGTGAAAGGGGAGTCGCAAGCGATGAGGCACACTTCAGGTACACTATTTGAGGAATTCCGTCGAAAGTTTCTGTTACAGAAGGTTTTAGTTTTTTCAAAAAATGATAGACATGCGAGGGATGAAAAAAGATAGTATTACAAGAACGAAAAGGTTGCAAGATAAAAGCATCACTCACACGTGTGTCATCATCAACGAGATGAGCAATAGGGGAGAAGACACTAGCAAAATAGGACCCGAGTGCTTGTGCCTTGTCATTATCACTAACGTATAAGGTACCAGAATGGTCTTTGAGGGTGGGAAGATTTGAGGAGGGCTTCATCTTCTTTTTAAGATAAGAAAAAAGGTGCTTTGATGATACCCTCATAGAAAGCTTTCGTTCACGATATGATAGATATTTTCTCATGTGATGATCTATGTCGGCACAAACTTTCTTGTAATATGGATTAACCAAAGGATCGGGTAGCTGCTCAAAAAGTTCTTGCTTTTGCGCTAGTAAGCCTCGAATGTGTGGTGGCAGACCAAGAGGATGAGTGTTAGCTTTAACTTTCAAAGGAACGAATATACTAAAAGCTTCATAAACAATTTTGCAGAATCTTTCGTAAACATCAGAAGATGAGATGTAATTATCAAAAACAGAAAGCCAATCAACTTCAAAAAAATAATTATCAAGAGAGGAATAGTCAACATCTTGAAAATCTGGCAAAGGAATAGAAGGGGCAAAAGAGTACATTAAGTCTATTTCAAAAGTAACAATTCTATGATCCGAAGATCCAAGAGGTGGTAGTGAGGTCATACGCGAGACAGCCGAGGAGGACGAAAGTACCACGTCAAGAGTATTTACACCATGGGTAGGAAAGGAAACGTATTGTTTTAGACCACAAATATTCAAGAAATCAAGGAAAAGGCCTGAGGCAGCATTAAAAGACTTCATGGACTTCATGGAATTTGTAAATTGAGATCTCCAAGCATAATGTTCTGAATATTTTCGGAAGCACAGTTGCTAAGAAAGTCTATCAAGTCATCATCATTACTTCTATTTGAGTTTGGCGGGCGATATACCGCGACAAATTGCAGTTGATAACCTCCATCTGGGTGAAAAATCTTAATTTTGAGCAAGTCCGCTTTGATTTCAGCATTTGCATTCAAGGATGTTGCACCGATGTGGCTCTTTATGATACAACAAACACCACCACCTTTGCGGCCCCGCCGGTCCGCGCGATAGATCATATATGGGAGACCGCTTATTACTTCAGAGTCCAAAATATGAGAATTTAGCCAAGTTTCTGTAATGAAAATGATATCAGGCTTATATTGGCAGATGAAACATTGCAAAAGATGTAGCTTGTTGCGTAAACTGCGTGCGTTAAGTAAACAGACCTTCAAAGGAGAATTGCCCTGCACACTCATGCGTTTCCCTGATAACGACGGGAAAGCTCAGAGATGTGCACCCGTTGTCGCGGTACACCACCCACTCCTTATTAGGCCTGCCCCTGTTACGTTCACGAGCTTCACACGAAGCTCGTAGTCCCTCTGACGCTCTGCAGCAGTCATACTTTTCCTAACGTAAACGTTAGGAAAACCGGAGGGACGTAACAGGCGAGAATTCGCCAAAGCTGTCCGCCAATGTGACAGTGATGGTAGGACAACCTTGACCAAACTAGGCTTGGCTGGATTTGGACTACCCATCCGGTAAACCTCTACCGGGCGGCACTCGACCTTGAGAACATCTAAGATGTTATCCACCTTATGCTCAAGATCGCGCTGCCTTTCTTGATAGCTAACGTCCCCCTCAGTTTCGGCTACCCCGCTGAGGACCACGCTCCTCGCCCTCTTTTCAGCTGTAGGATCACATGACGTCATAGCAGGAAGTTTATCACATACGAGGGATAACAGCCTATCGATAAGTGGATCGTTGTACCTCTCCCTGATATAACCGATCAAGTTCTCAACTGACATCTCATTGACATCCAACACGGCCGTTTGGCTGCTAGCACGAACTAGACCCCTTGGAGATGGGTGGTCCGAGCTAGTAACCGTGGACTTTGAACGTCCAATGGCCATAATTGACTCAAGGAGACGGAGGAAAACCAAATTGGAAGGAAAAGGTAAGAGGAACAAACCAAGCACCGATCAAGGCAAAAGATAGAAAGAAAGTAATAAAGGCGTGATAAACAAACAATAGTAAAAAAAGTCGCAGCGAAGATAAAGGAAGGCAGGCAAGAAAGAAAAAAAATCGATGACTTAGATACTTTATCCGCCAACAGACACCCGCGAAATAAATTCGCAAGATAGATAGTCAGCAAAAAGAAGTGAAATGAGGGATGATAAACAAAAAGAAGTGAGGGATGATAAGTAAACAATAGGAAAAAAAGTGGCAGAGAAGATGAAGAAGGGCAGGCAAAGAAAGAAAAAAAATCGATGACCTAGATACTTGATCCGCCAACACACACCCGCGAAAAAAATTCGCAAGATAAGATATTAGTCGTATTATTTTTTCAAGGATTTTTTCCGCAGGAGGCATTATGCTTATGGGCCGACAGTTTGACAAGGTGTTCTGTTGCCCTTTTTTCGGGATAGCAGTAACAAGAGCTTCTTTCCATATTTTTGGCACCATTGCAAATTGTAGAGACATTGAGAATATCAATGTAAGGGGAAGGGGCAATGTTCGTGCACAGTTTCTATAAACAATCTGAAGAATTTCATCATATGTGGATGTTGCAACAGCTTTCAGTCTCCTTAAAACTTCATATACTGTATCAGGATTGACTTGTATCTCATCACATGCTGTAGCAACAAATTTCTGTCAACGTACTTCACAAACTCCAATTCTTGAAAAGGCACTGCTTCACACCTTACTGCTGACTTTCCTGGCTTATACAGCATAAGCATTAGCTTTTGACACTTTGTAAGACCGTAAATTTCAAGGCCAATGTTAATCGCCTTATATTTGATACAGCTTAGCGTCTCGTGGCAAAGTCTTTGATGAAAGAAGCACACTGTGTTGTGAAAAATTGGCATATCGAACAATATGACTCTGGTAATTTGTAGCGCACTCTCAGACTACATATTCTTTGCTCAACGACTCCTCAAACCACTTCACCAGCACCTCATTTGTATCTGAATCTTGAAGAGATTATTGATAGAAGTCAGATTTGCCACGTTTTCGGTGAAGAAGTTATCAACGAAATGAAAATCGACGATGAATCCAAAAGCTGTATATATAATCATCTTAGATAACAAAATTGAGCAAACCATAAAGTCACAAACAGGTTGCCCGCTCTGACACAAGTTCTCTATCTTTCTGATATGTTCAAGTAGTAGAAAAGAAATGCTCTGTCATGGTCTTTCGTTTATTGTACACTTTTGCCATGAAATGGTAAATAAAAATGGCCTTTGTTTTAGTATTTTTCCTGCCCGTACAGATTTCTTATAATAACTTACTTATTGCAAAAAGGACTATAGAAGATAATGTCCTTGGTGTTCTTCACTTGTGCAAGATTGTTGCTGGAAAATTGCTTTGTCATGATGCATTCTTTCCAATTTGCTTACCTGAATCGCATGAGTAACGCATTGAAATCTATTTTCGCTCATAAAACAAACTTCGATGCTTGACAGTATGTAACAGCGAAAATCATAGCTAATAGTGAAAACAAGTATTCAGAGGTATTCAAAATGAGCTCGATGAAGTTCCTGTTGTTTGTATGGATTCCATTGACGAACAGTCTTGTAAATACGAGCAGCAACGAACTAATTTCAAAGTTTGTATCTTACCTCGAAATTTAAATGAGAATAATGCTTTTACAGAAGTTTGGGCCAATCTTCTGGTTCTTCTCGTCTCAATGCTTCCAACCAAGGTTAGCTGAACATCTTCTTCGTGTATGATTTGAGACTCAAGTTACACTTTGAGCTTGAGGTGTCAGTTTTGCATTAAAATGCAAACCAACCTCTAAATGCCATTAACCCGTATTCTCAAAGCCATCCTTGTAATACTCAACCTCAAGCCGCGCTAGAATAATGTACAGGGTTGGGGGAAAGTCTTTGAACACGGTATTCTTAACGTAATGATAAAGCTAGGCAAGATAATTAAATGAAATCAATAGGTAACGTTTACTTAACTGTCTGCTACACAAAACTTGATTTACAATTCAAAGATTTTTCCTCTGACGCGAGCACAAGCTCGGAAACGCTTGGAAACGTTGTCCATAGTGGCGCGGAGGTGCTTCACGTCGATTTCTTCCAACGCCCTCTGAAGAGCAAGTCGCAGAGACTCCATTGTCTTGCTTGGGTGAGCGCAGGCTTTGGCCTGAAGAACTGACCAGACGCTATGGCTGGGTTCATACTGATTCCCATGTTCCGGAACTGTTCTCGCACAGTTCCCGCATAGTGCTGGAGCTGTTCCGGAACTGTGCTGCATGCGCTGCAACTGCCCCGCACGCGTTTTAGACGGCGGGAGTTAAAAAATTTTGACCGTTCTCAACGGTTATTCTTCCAAATTTGTCTCATTTTAGCCTTATTCTTCTACCCCGTCTCCTTGTGATGAGAAAAGCTGTGAACTTGAAGCGGGGTTGAGGAATGAACGTTGTTCTTCTCTACTTATCCGGAACATGCACATAAAAGAAAACAGCGTCCTCTCTTCAACTCCGCTTCAAGTTCGAGCTTTTGTCATCACTAGGAGAAGCGGAGTAAAAGATAGAACGGAGACGCAACGATATGGAAAAAAGAAAGGGGCTGAGAATGCCCAGAAAACGAAATTTATCAGAAAACAAGAGCGAAGTTCCAATTTCCGCATTTTCAATGTTCGCCTGTCCATTTGAGGCAGATGGCTGTGGAATACGTAGCGGAAACTCCTGAAACAAATGGAATATATTCGAGCAAAAAGAAAACGAAGCGAGAATGGACAAGCGCAAGAACAGACACTTTGTCGGATACGCAGAGCAGAAAATCGCTCATTCTTCGACCCCGCTTCGAGTTCGAAGTTCTGCTGATCAAAAAAGGAAGCGGGGTAGAGGAATCAAGGCCAAAATTCGAGGAATAGAAAAACCGCTGGAAACGGTCAAAATTCTCCAATCGCCGTTCAAAACGCGTGCGGGGCGGTTGCAGTGCATGCAGCACAGTTCCGAACAGTTTCAGCACTGTGTGGGAACTGTGCGGGAACAGTTCCGGAACATGAGAATCAGTATGCACCCAGCCTATAGTCGAGGGATTCAGATTGGGCGAAAACGGAGGCCATTCCCCAAGAGTAACGAAGACCTTGAAGTTGCTTTGGAGCCAAGTTTGAACAATCTTCGCTGTGTGCGCAGGTGCGGTACCTGCTGGAAGCACCAATCTTTCCCTGCAATATGGATATTGGTCTAGAGCATCAGTTGCTTCTTCAGAATGCTATCCAACTACGTAACAGCGTCCACCTTGATGCCCTGAGGCGCTAAAATCAGTGGCATCTTGCCGCCGGAAGTGATCGCCACGCAAACCATCAGAAAAGCCGGATGAGGCTCTCTTTTGGCGAATCAACCCCTGCTGTGGCTTCTCAGAGCGATTAGGATATGATTCTGGTGTTTTGGAGTTTGAAAACCTGTTTTACGGTAAAAATTTTATCGTCGGAAAAAAGTGCCATTTTGTGGCGTGCCTTGGAGAGACGTTCAAGCAGTCGATGGCATCTGCGCAGTCAGTTCAGCTTCGTGTCCTCCCAAAAAGCTTGAAATTATAGCATTCTGAAAGGCTTCATCGCAAAGCCCTCTTTTACGATGTCGGAGACTGTCCTGCCAGAGATGGACAGCTCTGGAGCCAGCTCAGTCAAGCTTCGCCGAGGATTGCGACGAAGGCGTTGGCGAACGATTTTCAGGATTTCATTACTGTCCGCGGTAGCCAATTTACCACTCACACAATAGTCCTGGGTGCTGTTCATATCCTGGAAACGGCGCAAGGTGGAAAAGACCCTGATCTGTAAAATCTGGGGAAGCCCGCGCAATTTGCTGGTCAGCCATCTTCTCCTCGTGCATCTTCTCCATTAGTGTTCGCTCCATTCCAGAAGGCATATCTCCGACAGGAAAAAAGCAAATAATCCACTTTTTTGAGGGCTTGTACTCAAGAGTATAGGAAGCAAACACGTATAATTAGCATACAAAAATTTGTGGAAAAGCCAAACATACAAGGACATCAAAAATTGTACAAGGACTTTCCCCCAACCCTGTATAAAACCAAAAAAAATTCAACCCGTTCAAATCTAAGATAGCATAGCCAAAACTACATCAACGTTTCCTACAAAAATGTTATTGCTTCGAGCACTGCTAGAGATACTTCATCAGCAAATGTTTTGAACCGTGACACTCAGATTGGAATTCCTTATATTTTGTGGGGCGGAGGCAAATAAACGCTGTAAGTGAGAAAACTATTAGGTTGTAAAGAAAGTTCCCGGGCACTTTTGGAAATTTCATTTTCAAACGCCTTTTTTTGGCGCTCCGTCGGACTTTGACACCAAGTTTTTGATACTGTTCAGTAGAGGGAAGCCTGAAGTTTTCAATAGCGCTTCTGATTTCTATCGAGGGCAAGACATGTTTGACCTGCACATCAAAAAAGGAAGTCTTTCCGATCATAAAAATTTCGCAGTTTTTCTTCCTGCGCCCATTTTTCTGTGCGGTTCAAAGAAATTCGTCCAAATCATGAGTGATTTGATTGAGGAACCTGTCCACTTCTGAACCGCAGCCGCACTCGAGTTTTGCGATTTGTGCTCAGAAATTACAAGCTGTCGAACTTGCCTTTGACTGCAACTCTTTTGGCAGCTGGCGTCGCTTCTGCAGGGATCGCCACGCCTGGACGATGGGTCCAAAAGATGTGTAAGGCATTACCCCAACAATATTCGCCGTAATCAAAGGTTTGATCTTTTCTGTGCAGAACTAGAAGACTCCGAGGCCGTTTACTCGAAAAATGGTGCATTTTTAGGGGCAAAAAATGGTCGATTTTTCAAACTTTCTGGGGAAAATTTTTGTGCAGGTGGTCCTTCAAAAACTTGAATGGTTCCCATAACAGCCCCAGCAGAACTCTATATAACTACAGCATCTGGACTTTCCAGCTGTTATCCTGCCTGAGATAATGCTGCACAAACAGGCCACTTTTCGCGACGACCTTTTTCCCTTCTGCGCATGCTGATGGACCGCAGTGAGGTGCTGACAAGCCAGGAAGACAAATATATGTTGTGGACAAAATTGTCTTTGCAATGAATTTTGCAGCTTCAAAAAAGAATCGATCTGCTTGAAGTTAGAGCGATTTGAAGAAATTTATCGCAGGTGCCCGGGAACTTTCTTTACAACCTAATAGTAACAGTCCACTTGGATATGAGAAAGGACCGAAAATGAATTTATTAGCTAAGCACGAATAGCAGCTTGACCTAACGATAATAATAATGACTTTGGACAAATTTCGGAGCATATCAGGCTTGGTGTACTTGGATAAGTGAAAATGCGACAAACATATATTAGGTCGGTGCAAAAGTTTTGCCAGTTTTTTCAATCTATTGGCAATCACGCTAGAATGAAGATAAACAAACCCTTTAAAATGTATCCAATGCAAAATTTCTTCCTCTTTCGAACTGCTAAACTCCCATTGTGTTTCGTTGCGAGAATGACGAGATATTTGCTGGAAATTACAACCATTGGTTTTTACCATGTCCACTAAACTCCCATTGTGTTTCGTTGCGAGAATGACGAGATATTTGCTGGAAATTACAACCATTGGTTTTTACCATGTCCAACTTTCGCTAATTTTCAAAATTTTTGTATGAGACTTTCGGAGGTGCCCTAATAACCACCAGATAGGACAAACCTTTTGCCAACTTATGCAATTTTTTTCTATTTTTCAGCTACTTTTGCAGATTTTTTCTAAATATTTTTCTAAAAGTCTTGTGTTTTGGAAAAATCGCATAAGCTGTTGTTGCACCAAACACTGCAGAACCTATAAAAAATTGAGGTTTTAGCACTTAATTATTACTATCGCTAACATAACAAAGTACATGAGATTTTATCTTCAAATTATGAAGAATTTGAAACATAGATTACGTTAATGCGCACTCCTAAAATTGAAAAATACTGCGATTTTCCCCATAAATTTCGCCTGTCTTGGCAAACAAAGACAAGTGTTAGAAAGAGGAGAAAAATTTGCATCGAATGGTGACTGAAGTGTTCAACATTTTATGTTCTACAAGGTTAAAATAAGCTGAACGTAAAATCTGGTCACTTCAAAAAATAAATCGTAGAAATTCTGAAAGACAAGTTGTAGGGCTACAAAAAATTGCATCTGTTGGCAAAAGGTTTGCCCTATCTGGTGGTTATCAGGGCACCTCCGAAAGTCTCATACAAAAATTTTGAAAATTAGCGAAAGTTGGACATGGTAAAAACCAATGGTTGTAATTTCCAGCAAATATCTCGTCATTCTCGCAACAAAACACAATGAGAGTTTAGCAGTTCGATAGAGGAAGAAATTTTGCATTGGATACATTTTAAAGGGTTTGTTTATCTTCATTCTAGCGTGATTGCCAATAGATTGAAAAAACTGACAAAACTTTTGCACCGACCTAATAGAAGATTTAAGCGCTGACTGTTTTTCTTGATTTTATGGAATTACCAATATACCCTAATAGCTGTCTAGGCTGACTGCATTACAAGATTTAGCCCTTCAATAATCCATATTGTTTTTTAGCGTCGTGTCCTTGGCTTTGCGAGAGTGGGTGGACTTACTTCGACAAAACCGATTCTTGCTACAAGGTATGTGCTAACTTTTTTCAAACAAAGATGATGTAACAAAATGTAATTTGTTGAAGTTTTTTGGAAGACGCCATTATGATCATCCCCTAAAAAATAAGATTAATCTTGAGTAATTTCAACTCCAAGTAAATTGATCTGTATTAATTGCACATTCTTTATCTACACATTTTTTTCATTTCAAATCTCTGCAACGTAAAATAAGCAAGTTTGTTTCTTGGCAGTGCAAACTTTGTTTCACTACAGTCTTCCGCATTTTCTTGACGTATAGCACTGACAGCCTAAACAGAAGCGACATTGGCCTCGAACGAAAGCAATACGGTTAAAATAACTTTGACGGCTCCTCATTCTTTTATTCTTTTCTGCGCTGACTCATGCGCAGTTTCGGTTCTAGAAGAGGAAATCTCTTCAAAAGAGGTACAAAGTTTGATTGTATGTTCTTCCGTTGGCAACATTTCTTTTTTAACGTCAAGAGTTTGGCATGGAGTAGGATCAATACCGCTCGTGAATAACTCAGGCTTTTTAAGCTCCTTTAAAGTGCCAGTTGTGCCGGCGCCGAGCTAGCGCCATGTCGGCACAGCGCTACCGAAAAATTTCAATAAGATTTTGATCTATACTTAGCTATGAAGGAGGCCCGTTTTGAATTGGGCCAGAGAGCGCGGCGTACGCGACGTAGGCAGCGTACGCTCACGTGCATTAGGATGTGGGACGTACGAGACGTAAGTCGCGTACACCGCGCAGTTTGGCCCAACCATATGTCACGCACCCAACGAAACGAATTGTACTGATCTAGACAGCGCCGAGACAGCACGGCATAGGTTGGTGCTAGCTCAATACCGCCACAGGCATTCTGGACGGAGCCTAAATTTATAAAATAATTATCTTTATTATTCAACAAGAATGTTATAAAATCAATTAAAGTGGAATAAACTTCAACATCCTAATTTTTGACTTCACAGACTTTCCTTGATGCAAATGCTTACGATGCTGAACACATCTGTAACGTCGTTGGAGGACATTTGACTTCGATACACAGCTCTGCCGAGAATATATTTGTAGCCGGTGAATTTTTGTTTTATACAAATTGTATATGCAAAGCTTACTGCCGGACTATGGCGCAAAATCTCGGAGTTGGGGCCAGACTGCGCGGCGTACGCGACTTTCGCAGCGTACGCCCTATACCTCAATGCACATGTGCGTATGCCGCGAAGTCTGGCTCAATCGCCCGAGCTTGAGCGCGGTTTAACAGCTGCGGAGCGCATAAGGTGCAGGATTTTAAACAAAAAAGTTACACGTCATGAGAGCGTTCTCACCGTTCAACCAACTTTGCCTTTGCACCCCTCCGGCACTAGCCATTAATTCAGCGATTGCAATAACTGACCGTATCGCCGCGACGAGCAACGTGAGACGAAAAACGAAAAAAACGTGAGACGGCTTGTACAATAGTGATTTGTATGGCAACCATCTTACGCTTCTTGTGTCCCGCAGTGACGACATTCCGTGCAGTTGATAGGACACTAAAGTACAAGCATTATTCAGTCTGTGATTTAGAGTTGGCAAGAACGGGTAGGCAATGGATAACCGCCAACGACCTAACCTGGATTGGTCTGTGGGCTGAAGGTACAGGAAGGAAAATATATACCTGGACTGACGGCACAAAAGTTGACTATCTACCCTGGGTTGTGGGTGCACCTCAGGCTCATGAAGATCAACGCTGCGTGTTGGTAAGACTTTCAAATAAATAAGGAAAATCTGACGCATTTAATGGTTTTTTGAATGATCAAAAGCAATAAGTCGAATTACCTACGCGAGCAGAATTTCGATGGTTAGAAGATATGAAGTATGACCTAAAGTTTGCAATCTTCCCACTTAAGCTCGCCATTTCAGATCGCCACTGCAAATATAATCTTTTGTTACTACAAGCAAAACTTCAGATTGCAATTTATAACATGCCTTAATATACTGTTCGGCATTCAGACGCTTTTCGGTGCACATCTTTGAAAATATTAGGTTGGCACATAAGTTTTGCAACTTTTCCCGTAACTTTTTTCCTATTTTATATAGCAATCTCATTTTGTGGCATCATGTAGATCGTGATGTAAGCTGTAAGTCTGCACAAACCGTTTGATTTTTGATAATGTAGTACAAAAAATCTAAGCATTTTTTGAAAACTGCTGAAAATCGAGGTTCCACTATTTTCTGGCAAACATGAAGCCCTACGAAACCTGATTCAAACATATGAAAAAGCAATTATAGGCAGCATGTAGCTGGAAGCTGGCACATTGGAATCAGTGAAAAAGAAATGAAATTTAAACACAAATTAAGGTGGGACGCCCTTGAGAAGTTAAGCAAGTCAAATGCGTCAAGTTTTGAAGGCAATTTGTCAATAACTAAGCTGCGAAAAGTCAGAATTCGCTATAACTTTGCACTATAGGGTAATCCTATGCGGTAAACACGCATATCATATTCATTTGTCGCTAAAATGAAATCCATCTTTTGATCTCACGAGCGAGGCCTTTTCATGCGAAACGGATCTCATTTTTGTGATCAGCATGTCAAATAAGCCCTATAGGCCAAGTTTCAGCAAAATCTGATGCATTCTAGAATTTTTCCCATAGTACCGTAAACCTACCGTAATCCTCTAAGATGGTAAAATTCGGCAAAAATGTGTGCATTAGAAGCTTACATCATATTCCTTATATTGCCAAAAAATGAATGCGCTACGATCAAATAGACAAAAGTTATATAAAAAGTTGCATTACTTATGTGCCAACCTAATATATGTGTGTCGAAGCCAGTCTGACTTTCTGCGTCCTTGAATTCTAACCTCTTCATGTCGTTACTGTTTCCGGCGTGTTGTTTTTGGTTCATCATTCTGTGCAGGAATCTTGAGCATAGAATAGTTGCGAAACACTATAGAAAAACAATGAAGTGAAATCTTTCATAAACATTGTACTAACTGGCATACCCGGCCCCGTTCGGCCCTTTCAAAACACTATGATAAAGGTCCTATCCGTATCCGTCTGCAAGCGTTCTCTGTGCCCACTCCTAACTGCAAGTTCCTAATCCCTGCACCAACTCTCAGCTCCGTAGTTCAGACTTTGCAAAAAAATCGCTAAAATCGATAAAAGTGAAGATAATTTTGAAAAGTATTATTGTATTCGTAATCAGCCGCAAGAGATTCGACAAAAATAGATAAAATCGACATCGATCGATAACCAAAAGTAGCTTATGACACCCGCCCCGCCGAAGTGAATGTGTGCCAAGCGTGGCCCAGATCGTTTCGCAAATAAAGATTTCCATTCGGAACATAGCAGTGGCGTACCGAGGGGGGGGGGCGCCCCCCCCTGAGAGGTCGCGAAATTTTTGAAAGTTACTTAGGTACATGAGTTATAAAATTGTGCAAATGACTTGTTCATACTTGTAAATAATTAGAATATTTTTTTAAAAAATTTTAAAAATTCAAATTAGCCTTGTAAAAAATTTTCATTAAAAAATTTTCAAAAAATTTTCAAAAAAAATTTTGGCTCACGCCACGCCCCCTTTTTCCGGTTTTTCGGGGTTAGGAACCCGCAAAAATGTTGAGAAGCACCCTGAAAATTTTTTCGAAGTGTGTGGCTAACGTCACGCACCTACATTAGAAAAAAAATTTTGTCGCCCCCTCCCCCCCCCCCCCCCCGAGCCGAAATCCTGGGTACGCCACTGGAACATAGGTACGGACAGATTCATACACAAACACACAAACAAACAGTCAGCAAGATAAAGCTCATATCTGCACTTCTCTCTGTATATGACTATGTTCGTATGCCGGGGTTTCTTCATACTACGCCGCGGGGCGCAGCGTGCTTGGCGTGCGCCGCAGAAATCGCTTATATACGTTCACGGCAACGCCTTTTCGCTGGTTATGTGCGTATATCTATATTTCCTGCACTCGTGTTCTCCGAGAGCGTTCCTTCACAGCGTGCAATCCTTACCCTCTTTGCCTCGTCTCATCGTTGATTTTTCACTCAGGTTGGATTGAATTTGTGTGCTCCCTCCAGCAAACTTATTTCCCTCCAGTTTTCTCCAATTCCCTTTATCTCCGCCCATTAGTATTGCTTATCACTTCATTTTGCTATGAAAGCGAAATAGCGAAACATAGCGAAACAGCGAAAGCGGAACATACAGGGAGGTTTTTTTTTAGGATAAACGGCAAAATAAAGTGATAAGCAATACTAATAGGCGGAGATAAAGCGAAAGAGAAAACTGGAGAAGAATAAGTTTGCTGGAGGAAGCACAGAAATTCAGTCCAACCTGAGTGAAAAATCAACGATGAGACTAGGCAAAAGAGAGGAAGGATTGCACGCTGTGAAGGAACGCTCTCGGAGAACACAAATGTGCAGGATATAGAGGTACGTACATAACCAGCGAAAAGGCGTTGCCGTGAACGTATCAGAGCGATTCCTGCGGTGCACGCCACGCACGCCGCGTCCTGTGGCTTACAAGGGAAGGATAGTTGGATGCCGCGGCCAATCCTAATGATTTGTATACCAAAAAATGCGCCTTTAAATTCAGATTCTGAATCTGTGCTCGAAATCTGCGAAACGATTTTTTGAAGAAAGTTATGAACTTTTTCCTTGAAATTTTAGCCTACTTTTGGATAGTAAAAATCACCAGATTTGATCTAGCCTACCGTTTGATGCTACTGAAGAAAATTTTAGACGTAGTAATATTTATTTAGACTATCTGAATAATACTCAGCATTTGGAAAGGAGAGAAAATTTTTTTATTGATGATTTTGACCCTCCACAGGAACGCAATTTTTTTAATGAAAAAAAAATCATAACTCCATTCAGATTATCGTTTCGCAGATATGAAAGACAGTCTACGAACCAGCATTCAAAAGCGCATTTTTTGGTATACAAATCATTATGAATGGCTACGGCATCCAAGTATCCTTCCCCTGTTAGTATGAAGGAACCCTCGCAAACAGAAAATTTCATTTTTGAATCAGTTCGAACCAAACTTTGCACACATACATATAAGAACTCGTCGCATGTCCTATACATTTTATTATCGATTGTATCGACTTTATCGCTTTTCGTAAACTTTGAGTTAATGCAAGGGAGTAAAAATAACTGGTTACGAATATAATGACCGTTTGCAAGACTCGCTACTTCTCTCTATTTCATTTTCTGCGTAAGGACCATGTTGATTAGAAAAATGCAGTGTGGCAGAGAACTGACGTATCGAAGTGGAACAAGGACAGGTAAACGCTGCGCACAATTCAAGCGCAATAACCAGTTCTATTATGCCATGCAGACATGAAATACACAAGCCGGATAGCCTAGCTACATCGAAAGTGAGTGTGGGGGGGGGGGGGGGGGATCAAGCAGCAGAGCAAATGCAAGAAGTCCAAGAAAATGCTTTGAACGGATGAGTATTACTCATTTCTTGTTTGCCACGAAAGGTTTTGGTAGCAACAGTTTATTGTGCTGCCTAACGTTTCGGCGGATACGTCGTCCTCAGAGGCATAAAAGTGAGCCAATCACCTTCATCAAACGCAACTCGCACGTTTGATTCGTCCAATGCAACCGCAGTCCAGCGTCCAAGCTAGATCAACTTACCAAGACTCTCAGGGAAGAGAAGAGACTTTTTAGGTCGCTTACAATGTACGGTAGCAATAAACAGATCAACAGGTTTAGACATGTTTAAGTAGCTATAGGCTATCGAAATCACAGAATGATAAGAAAGGCTTCAGATCATTTGCCACAGACAACTGTTCATTCTTGTATTCAATTTCGGGTTGCGAGCAAGGATGAACGCGGCTTCTAACAACTTTCGAGCAGAGATGTTATTCTTGATTGCCAGTATGCTGCAATTGGCTTCAAGGGCTTCGCCGCCGTGACACCTTCCATGTTTCCCAATGAGCTCACAAGCCTCTTCTTTTGCTGGCCAGATGTTCGTTTACGCGTACAAAAAGCGATCGGTCTCGCCGATGTAAATGGCCCGGCATCTTCGACATTCCAACTGGTAAACTAAACCGCTTTTGAGCAATCTCCTGACTTTCCGTTTGCACACAACACAGTTATGCGATGTGCAAGCTCTATGTATAATCGATTTCGCACCAGCTGTTTCCTGATGTTGTCTTGTGGTAAATTCACTAGAACAACATCAATATCCAACTGTGCTTGCGTTATACATCGTTTGACTGCGTTGATCACTTTGTCGCATATGAACGGCAAGCATAAAGGAACACGTGTTCGACTTTGGTTGCTTGTGTACATGTATGTTCGTTGGAGGCTTTGAATTGCTCGAGTATCCGTTGTTGGAATCTATGATGCGTGCCATTTCCAGAAACTCAAGTCCCTCACTTTCTCCGCTTACACACTGCAGGCTGTCTTGAACACGTTGCGGATAACCGCAGGTTTTACGGTTGAGTGAGCGGAAGTGGAGTGTAAGATGATGTTCTTGCTGCTCTCTTTCCGATAGCATTTAATGTGTACAGCGCTGTTTGCCATCATCAGTTTGTTAAAGTAGGTTAACCTCTCATCGTTTGGTTTCTCGTTTCTCTTTAGTTAAGCTATGTACTGCGATTGTTCATTGGCGATCAGCACTCATCCATTTCGGACTGAGTAGTCACAATGAAACAATCGGTGCGCATGCCATTATGCCAAGGCTAGAGAAAGGAAAACTTTTAAGTCACTTCGAAACATACCGTCACAGTTATCCTCCTTAGTTGAACAAGCCCTAGCGCTATGTCAGAAAGTGATATATACAACCCAGTCAATTACGTTTCTCAAACGAACAGAAGACGTGTTACCTCGCTTCTTTACGAATAAGAAGCTCGAAGTTACGTGCAATCTTCCCGCAGATCATCCTAAAATACGTGGACTGTATAAGTCGATCTTAATAATTACGATAAAGCGGAAGCAGTACGTATATCCCAGCCAAATCAAGTGCAGAACGAAGGAAAGCTTTTCGAAGATTGTTAGATAATGTTATGTGGGAGAGGATTGAAAGCGCGTAGAGAAATATCTGCGACATTGCGCATTCTGATGCTAAAGCCAGACTACGCAGAAAGTCTGACGTACCCTTGGTTCTTAACTAAAATCTTCATCTTTATAATTTATTCATACTCAACGGTTCTACATGTTAGTGATAAATACCGTGATGATTTTGTCTGAGGCTTCCGTTAATCAGTATGTGACCATATATGCATGTTCTATTCGCCTCCATTCACGAGGATCCATAACTAGTTCTTGCCATTTACGAGCAGATTTAAAGACATTACAGTGCTTTCACATGTCGTCTTTCCATCCAGTTCTTGGTCTGCCATCACCAAAGCGTCTTTCGACAGATGGTGTCCAGCGCGTGAGAATTTTTGTCCATTTTTCTTAACCTTGTATCCTAAAAATTTTCCCAGCGAACCGCCACTTCCTTCTCCATGCCGCCGCAACCACAACCTTCAACTTCGTTATAGAACGAATCCAAATTGAAGATTTGTAGTCCTTCAGTCGAAATCCAAGCATCAGCCTTTCCATTTCTCTCTGGCATCGGAGCAGTTTCAGCATTGACTTCTGGTGATTGCCCATGTTTCACAGCCATACAGAAGTGTTGGAAGGATGATTTTGTTGAAGTAGTGCCGTTTTAGGTAAACAGCTACGTTTCTGTTGGTGAGAAATCTTCGTATCTTACCAAAAGCAGTCCATGCCATCCCAATACGTCTAGAGATTTCTTTGTCGTGATCGCGCGGGCATTGCAGTAGCTGACCGAGATAGACAAACGAGTCTACGCGCTCGATGGTGTTGCCGCTTAGCGTAATTGTTGAAGTTCTCCAAATGCGATCTCTGTCCTCTCCCATCCATTTTGTTTTTCTTTCATTCATTTGAAGCCCAATTTGCTGACAAGCTTCAAGAATTTTCACGGCCATTGACTGTAATCGAGTTGGGCAACGACTTATAAGCACAACGTCATCCGCAAATGCAAGATAGTGCAGTTGTTTTGCACAGATATTATAGCCATCTCCATCTTCCCAGTGGGCAGAATCGTATGCGAATTGAAGGCACGTGATGAAGATAAGCGGTGATAGAGCATCCCCTTGGCAAACTCCTTTCTGTATTTTAAATGGAGCATTGGTTTCATCAGACTGAAGCGAGGGCGTAGCTGCTTGATACAAGAGTCGTATCATTGTTATTGTGTCGGTATCAACTCCGTAATGGGCGCTCTCCAGTTTGAGTCGAACTCGACGGTATCGAACGCTTTCTGAAAGTCGAGAAAAAGGAATGCGATAGGTAAATGATATTCATGCGTTTTCTCAATGAGTTGATTGATAGTTTGTAAGTGGTCAGTGGTTGAGAAATGCTGCCGAAACCCAGCTTGCTCAATAATCAGATATTTGCACACTTTTTCTTCGACTCGACAGGCCATTGCTCCCGTCAAGACTTTGTAGACTGTGGGTAAGAGAGAAATCGGTCGATAGTTGTTAATATCGTGACGGTCCCCGCTTTTGTGAAGCAATATTAGGGAGGCATGGGGAAGTTGGCAGGAACGTGATTGCCTTCGAACATTCGATTGATATTTTTATTGCAAGTTGGGGTGCAACAACTTCTACACCATACTTCGCAGCTTTAGAAAGAATGCCATCAATTCCTGGAGCAGTGTTTCCTCTAATCTTTGAGGCTGCTTTCCTCAGTTCGTCGGCGCTGATAGGACGAATAGATAGATCGTTGGCTGTGGAATGGAAGCGTGGTCCCGCGGGCGGCGTGGAGTTCGGCGAAAAAGGTATTAGCGAGTGATTGAGCTTCTGTGGAAGTACTGGTCATAGTCCCATCTGGCCTCCGCAATTGACATTCGACTACATGTTGACGAATAAGCTCGAGACGGCCGCGTTTAATACGATTGCGTTCAATGGCTCGTTTTAAGACGGAACAGTGATGCCGATAGAGATCATCCTTTATTGACCATCGCGCAGTCTTGCAGACAGTTAAGTAATCAACATGAGCGTTTATAGCGTTTGTCTGCTTCAACCCATACTTCAATTCACGTCTTAGAAGAAGAGATCGAGTTCGATTAGAGATTCGTTCTAGCGGCTCCCAAGAAACTTTGGCAAAATCAGCAGCATCCCGGATAGATTTACACAGTTGTTGCCAAGAGTTCACCGGATCAGTCGTTATGAGTGTTGAGGATGAAAGTTTGGTAATCCGTTTATCACGGGTGGAGGAACGAACGCCTCAATTAGGCTCCGCCTCCGCGGACCACTGGTCCCAACATGATGCGCAACAGTAGGACGAAAGGACCAGCAGCCCGCGGAGGCGATGCCTAATTGAGGCGTTCGTTCCTCTACCCGTTTATCACTAAGCAATTTTTATTTTTATCTCACTATAGTCTGGAGGCAGTTGACGAGAACGGAAATGGAAGCGTGTCGTGCGAAGATTTACATCGGCTCGAATAAGACGGTGGTCGCTCCCCGCGTTAAACCTATTCAAAATAGCAACATTAGTTATGACCCGTGGTTGGCGCGTTAATACATAGTCGATTTCTTCTAAAACACTTCCATTAGGAGAGCGCCAAGTCCACCGTCTCCTTTCAAACTTCTGGAAAAAGGCATTCATTATATAAAACTTTTCCGATTCCGCAAATTCTACTAACGCCTGCTTTTTGCTGTTTCGTGATCCGTAGCATTTCTGACCACCAAAATCAGATCGCATTCTTTCTCTACACGTGCGTTGAAATCGCCAATCAAAATGTCGTATGCATAACGTCCTTGTGATATCGCGCTGTGGAGCTCATCGAGAAATTCTTCGTACTCTTCATTTTGCCAAGGGGCGTGTGCTACAGTTACTCGTAACGATTTCCCGCGAAGAACGAAATGAATTTGCAGTAAACGGTCAAAGAGAAACTTTAAGTTTGCGCAATGCCGATGTAATCGTTCATTTACAAGTGCCCCAACTCCCCTGCGAGTGAATTCACCTTCCGTTCGTCCGCTGTTGTAAAAGTGTAATCCAGAAGACATGCGCTTTGCATGAAAGTTGCCGCTGCGGCGTGTTTCGCAGAGGCCAACGAAATCAAATTTTATCAATTTTAACTCTTCCTCAAACGCTGTCAATCTTTCCTCCGATGACAATGAACGGATATTCAAAAAACATACTTGAATTTGCTCTCGGCGTCTCTGGATCCTGCTCTTCTTGACTTCATAGGATGCCATACGGTGGGCCAGCCACGGCTTTTTCCACCAAATCTTCTCTCCTATCCTTCTTCGGATTCTTCTATCCTTCTTCTGAGATATATGCCAGAGCCACAGAACAGCCGACCATTCAGGGGGAGCTGGGGGAGGGAAGTGCTTAACTAAAATATCCGCCCATATATCTTCAATCGGACCGCAATCAATCAACGAATTATTTTTTTGGTGCCCGCTTGCCAGTAAAGCTCATGGCTACCTACTTCGACCATTCTCTGAGTAGGATGCTGCATTCTCTTTTTCCGTAAATCAAATTAATTGGCATTGGCGCAGCTAGCGCAGGATGGCAATTGTCTAGCTGGAAATTTTCTAGAAGTAAAAGGAGATACCACAATCACAATGCAGTGCATTGCACCTAAACACCTCTCAAATATCCCCAAAATATGAAGAACAGCCACAACCCGACCAACTTTTCTCGAAAGCAATTTTGCTCAATGGGCAAGTTTCATCCGAGTTTTTGAACTGCGTATCAAACAATGTATGTACTGCATGTGGACTGAAAAGGCTAGCAGAATAGTTTGCGAAAACGTTTGAAAATTATGTGGTGGGAAAGTGTGGTAAGCTTTTTTTATTACTGAGGGGTGGAAGAATGACTCTTTAAAAACGCACCAAATACTTTTTGCAGCGGGAGGGCGAATATAACGAACGAATAAACTTGCAGGAATGGCTGTAAAAATTCCACTCATAGGTTTTATGACATTTTGCACACGTTTGTTGTGCACCTGAATTTTATGAACAAGTGAAATTTGGCTCCGAAATCCCTGTTTTTATTAGGTACCGAAAGCTTTGAAAAAATTGATTTCAAGAATGAATGCTGAACAGCTGGCTACAAAAATGTGAATTCCCGTTCGACTGAACATGTTTTTACGGATCCGCTGTGTAGACATCGTGTCGCGCCCTCGTTCAACCTTTTTTTTTATAAATCAATTTCATTCATTTTCGGAGGACTCCATATTTATGAAAGTTCATTTCAGCTGTACAGTGATCATCGTCTCGACTCACATTATCCTGTTTTCTATCAAAAATGGAACGAATATATATGCGCCGAAAAAGAGAGATCGTTCGTATGCAAGAAGGCGGCTTTGCACTAACGCTACACTTACGTGCCATTAAAAATTTATGAAGAACAAAGTTTTTAGTAGCAGTTTACTTTGTGAGCAACCACATTCTACATATATGATTGCAGTAAACCAAAAGAGTTGATTCAAGACTCTGACCAAAAATTCCGTATATTTCGAAATCATCTGCATACATAAGAACAATAACATTGGGATGAGTTTTCAATATCCTAGGTACAGTCTGCCCCAATCGGGATCAGACCGAACCGTCGGCTGAATTTGCGCGCTCGCAGCGCTAACGGATTGCGCTGCATATGCGCGCTGTCGCAGAGAGTGAAGAGATCGAGGAGAGAGCAAACTAGCTAGCCGCGATGTGGCGCGAAACCCTCGCGGCGCGGACCCCGCCATGCCGATTTTGGCTTGGTCAGGATTAGGGCAAACTGTAAATCTGCTGTATAGATCGTAAACAAAGAGGTGAAAGGGCTTCTCCCTCTGGAAGCCCACTAGCGCAAGAAAAACGCTCAGAGTAGCCTCCATTGATGCGAACGGTCACATATCTACACTGCAAGTAAAATGTAAACCAATCTAGAAGGGCCGCTCTGATGCCATAGCGCTCAACTTTATATAGTAATTTGCCATGACCTATACGATCAAACGCTTTGGATAAGTCAAAGTAAATAAGGTCCACTTTCTGGCCATTCAAAACAGCTTTAATCCCGTCATGGTACAGTCAGTTAGCTGTGCGTGTCGATGCTCCGTTAACAAAACCATGCTGCTCAGGGGGAATAATCTTGAATTTTTCAAATATGCCAAAAGTTTGCATCGAAATATTTTTTTCCAAGATCTTGCATGGAACTGGATTAATACTTGTAGGCCTAAAATCAGATACAGTTTGTGGTTTATTGATTTTTGGGACAGCAGTTACGATGGCCTTTTTTCAGATACTTGGCACTTCGCCGCACAGAAGAGATATATTGAAACTGTGAGAAAGGGGAGTAGAAAGCTCTTTTGCACATTTCTTGAACACAATCTGTGGTATGCCGTAAGAGCACTGTTCTTTTTGTTTTTTGTTTCTACGGAAAGGTTTTTTGATTTTGTTCACTGCTTGCAGAGTAGAACTTTTCGCAGACAATGGTCGCAAAATTCAACATCTGCGTTTCTTGCTTTTCCAAGCGGTTATCATAAAAAATCTTCAATATGATTCAAAACGGATATTCCGACTGAAAATTTCTGCCTATAAAAAAATTTGGTGTAAGAAATTACAATCTCTTCAAATGCTCATTTACACGTGCCGTAGAAGCGTGCTTTATTTTATGTAGAGGTTTTTCTTAAATAAAAACCTCTCTTAACGTGCACCGTATGTCTGTACTACACTTATAATATTTTCCATCACTTTTAACAATTCTGTTGAAAAAAATATTTAATTTGTTCACCGATGAGCAGCAAAATTGTTCCTGTTGCCAGTTTGTTCTCTCCAAAAGTTCAAATCTGCGATGCAGAATAGCAGCTGTTACAATGCGTTTGATGGCGCCAGCGCCGCATAGTGCAACACACCTGCGCGCGAGCGCTACCGTGTGCTGCAGCTGCAGAGACCATGTCGCATGAAGCGGCATGGTCCTTGATCTAGCCACTCTTCCTGCGTCATTCTAACAAGATATGATATTGATATTATATAGATATTGTAAAATTATTCGCTGTCCTGCTTTCAAATTTCAGCGTTCTTCCTGCCTGAAACTCCACTTCGGCACTCCCTGAGATCTCAAAACATCACCACGCGAATGGAAGACAAAATGGATTGTTGACGTCTAGATGAAGATTAATTGAAATCATTTCATTTAAGAATTCTGAGAACGGCTGATGCTCTCCTTCCTTACATGTAAAGGTGAACATGTGAGGTATAATCGTAATCGTACAGGTTGAAAGAACAGTTTGAGTGAACCGTGCATTGGCGCTGTTCACTCAAACCTAAACGATATATAATTATGTCCAGGGCTCGGCACGAGGTGGCTAGATGAAAATGGAAAAAACGAAGTCCCCCTTGACTTTTGGGAATTTTTACGAAGTCCCCTTTGACCCTCAACCAAATTTCCTTTAAAAACCTGAAAAATTCCCCAAAATTCCCCAAAAAACGAAACGTCGACTAAAAAAAAAGGTCGCCGTCGCCAATTTTCCGTGTTTTTTCGGTCACAAAAACGAAACCCCCTTTGCTTTTCGTCCCAAAAAACGATACCAGCTGGCTTACAAGCCACCTGTGCCGAGCCGTGATTATGTCTCCGCTGACATGAGTCGATATAATGATTCATGACATGCCATACGAAGAAGGCCTAGACGAAATGAAAGATGTCAGGAAGACTCAAAGATTTGACACCTCCTTTCTTTGCTGCGGAAAAAAATTACCTTAGGTAAGAAGGTATATCAGGGCCGGTACTACCCTACCTGGTGGCATCGTAGATGCCGGCAAGTTGGCGCACATCGCGGAAAGATGCCAACTCCGCCGGCAGCTCGCGGGCTGATCTCAGGCAGACTGTCGCAAAACTTTCGCATTGCGCGCGCTCGAACTTCTATGCATCGACTTCGAAGGCAGGCGCATAACCGATAGACTATACGTACATGGTTCGTCCATAGCAAACGTGTTATAAAGTTTGCCTCAATGCTGGTTACCCGCAAAACATTCGCATCACGCGTACTCGAACTTCCATCTGTCGGCTTTGAACACTAACACTCTAACCGCTCGACTACACGTGCATTGCCCGCATAGTGCAGAAGCGGTAGGGGAATGCGCAAGAAGCAGTACATATTTTTGGACATGATCAATGCTCTTGAGCGATAGACTTTGAACTTTGAGGTAATCTTCCAAGATCGCCTTGCTAACGTTGTTTATCCATTGTTGTCTTTGTATTTTGGATAGTTTTCTTGTACTTATGCTTCCCGAATGTTGAATTCCTTACGCTGATAGAGCCCAGGATAATAGTAAGTTATTTAGGCATGCTACCAGTGCTCATTTACGCCGCTCCTGTTAGGAGGCATAGGAATATCCGTTACGGACGCCTCCATCCCTTGCGCCTCTTCCACTCGAATCAAAGTCTGATTCGGAGGAAGTTTCGGATGAAGGAGGACCACCTTCGGCGGCTTTGCGACCTTCTGCAGCCTTTGATGCCTGGAGAACGCATCGATAACTGGAGCGTGGAGGTGGAAAACAAGGCAAGTTACATAAGCTCTATTAGTGAAAAGAAAGGATAGGGAGCGCATACACAGAGAACTAGGAATTTTTCAACGGATTTTCGACAATTTTTGGAAAATCATTAAAATCGATGATTGAAGTTATACGTTACCAGCTAATCAGCGAATTGCAGGTCGTCATCGCCTTGCGGTACCTTACCACGAATGCCCATCAAGCCGTTCTGGCGGACACGATTGGCGTTTGTCAGAAGACGGTGTCGAACGCCGTGGAGGACGTGGTGAAGGCGCTGAACAACCCGGCAACAGTGCAGAAGTTTATTCCGTGCCATCTCCACGACGAGCGCTATTGCCGGAGGAAGGCCGATGGCTTCGCACGATTGGGAAGGCTGCCGAACGTCGTAGGAGCCATCGACGGCACACTTGTACCCATCCTGAGGTCGGCCAACTCAGGGTGGGAATACTATTGCCGTAAAGGATTCTGGGCCATCAACGTCCTAGCCGTTGTCGACGCCCGCGGTAGATTCATCTACATAAACAGTAACTATCCAGGTTCTGTTCATGATGCTACCGTGTACAGATATAGCCGTCTACATGATGCATTCGCAGAAGGAGCTGTTCCGGAGGGTTATTGCCTGATCGGAGATTCAGGCGATTATATGTACCAGACAGTTGAGATAAAAGCTGGAATCAGTCTTCCTTGTTAAACGAATATGCATGAGAAGAAGCTCTACCTTGCTAGAATGAAGCAATCACCCGGTTGGACACTGGTGGCCCATCTACCCATCTGCAAATCACCAGCTAAGCTTTTTTGCAGCCTTCTGAATAAAAAACGAATCCAACTAGGCGCAATCAATAAACCATACTGATAGACCTTGTCAAATGCTTGAAAAACACCGCACTCAGATTGGTATCATCCAACATCGGTCCTTCATGGATTTGCGAAGCTGCAAAACCATGAATCAGCAGATATACAAGATAGGAGGTCCATAGAGCAGGGTGTGGTATGGAAAATGGCTAAGAAGTCAATCAAAATGAAATGCCAATCAGATAAAAGATGATTTATTTACGTTAAAATAAGTTCAATATCAGTAGATACCTGAGCAAAAGCGTGAAATGCCGATCCCCAGCTGATTTGCCAAGGTGCCACGTATGCCATTACAAAACTCATTTTGAGATACAGCTCAAGCCATTTAGGATAGAGCACGATGAGTAAGTATAGAAGAAGAGCGAATACCGTAGCTGGTGAAATCTGCAGAGAGTAAGATTTAGACGCTGAATCTGTTTCAACTTCGCCATACCTCATTAGAAGGTCCGAAAGGTAATCCGTTCTTCCAATCAAAACGAGTCAGCGTGAACGGAAGGGCTAATGAGAATCTAAAACATAAACGATAGACGTAGAGCAGATCAAAAAATGGTTAACAAGTCTTTTTTGTCAAAATTGCAGAGCTATTTTTTCTATGTATTCCCCTAACGGACAGGGCTGATATGAGCATTTGAAAGTCGGGGGCCTCCGGCGTCCCGGGGAGGAGGGCAGAAGCATGTAAGTCTCTAAATAATTCAACTGCAAAATAAAACATAGAAGAGACATAACCAGTAAAAAAGGCCACAAACTCACAGTATAGTAAGGTTGCGTAGCTGTAAACAAAGAAGTGGAATGCAAAGCAAAGACGAGCACTTACAAGAAACCCGAAAACAGCATGTCATGTCTTGCTCGCAGCACTACAGCATTCTTTAAACGTCCAGGTAATGGATCCGAAACATCTAGTTCATCTAAACTTGATTTCCAAACATAAAAATGAATAGATTTGCTGATTCTCACCTAGATCTTTCACCCTCCCATCTTCTTCTTGTTCGGAAGACGCAGCGCAGCATAACCGGCTAGTACTATAAGAGTTAGTAGGAGTTCCTACTACGGACATACGGCTCGAAGCAAGATTATTGACAGTTGAGGATTGAACGAAAACCTTCAAGAAAAACCCAATAATGTGTTTATGGTCCACTGGAAACACACCTGCTAAGCAAATATGAGATCGCGACAGCTTCAGAGAGAAAAGCAGAAAATGCAGGAGTTTGTGTAGTAGTAGAGTCGATGGAATAGCCCAAATGACATCTGATAAACAAAAAAGGATTTGAAAAAACTTTCACGAAAAGTTTGAGGACCCACAATGCTCCAAGAATAGCCTAAGCAGCGAGACTTTTTAGAATCTGCACGAGAGCGCTCACTATACCCAGGGAAGCGGTCCCTCCGAATATATGCATCTCAAGCTGTTCTAGTACATGATGCATAAGTGTGTTAACCTGCAAGAGTTCATGGAAGACATACATCATCAAATAATAACATGTTGCGTAATAGAAAACTTCTTGAGTGCAAATCAAATCAAAAACGAAGTGATTAACCTGCGAAAGCCAACCCATTGTGAAGGCAAACGGAAGCAAAAATGTAGCAAAAAGATCACGAACTGCAAGAAGCACGATTTCTCCCGAAGTCTCGTACAGCCTAAAGATAGGCAAATAGGCACAGGCAATTGTTTCGTACGGATAAAGTCAAAATAACCTGTATGGATTCCAGTTCCACGGAGTTTTATCATAATTTGGGTCATCACAAAAATGATGCAGCACTAAAACGACCGCCAGAATGCAAAAGTAGACGGGACGACTATAGGCGACGAGCCAGTTGAAACCGTGAATAGGGGACGATGCACCTGGCTGGACGCTTTTGAGAAGGAAGAACTGAAAAAAAACGCTTTTCAAATATTACAAAGAAAATAAAGGTGAAGCATGCCGAAGGCGGCATTACAAATAAAAAACCGGTGCAATTAGTATGCGGTAAACTTACATGGGCTCCAGCAACTGTGAAAGCGAGCAAGAACAACCATATGTCGGAGTAAATTCCGGTAGCTAGGACTACACCACCAAGAAATGATACTGTACAAGCCAAAGGCACATCAAATGCGCAAGACCATGCAGAGTGCTTCCTATCAAACAAACCAGATACTGATACAACACCGCATTCAGATTGTTATCATCCAACATCGGCCCGCGATCAATTTGCGAAGCTGCAAAGTAAAGAATTAACAGATATACAAGATAAGAGGGTATCGAACCAAGAGTTCTGTTTAATGCAGAAAGTTGAGGAAAATAAACGCGGAAAACGACCACAAACTTACAGAAAAGTAAGGCTGCGTAGCTGTGAACAAAGAAGGAGAGTGTAAAGCGAGTGGACAAGGGAAACGTTGTACAGGGATAGAGAAAGGACTATTATAATGTTTTGACAGGGCCGGGCAGAGCCGGGTAAGCCAGCAATTATGTTTATAAGACGAAGCACTAGTTGCAAAACGAAAACATAAACAAAAAGATAAAAATCAGCATGAAGCTAAAGAAAATTAAATGAAGGGTATTAGAGACCATGATTGCAATAAAATGGAGGAAAAAATGAAAAGTTGTACTACCTACCTTTCAGGGTTTCTTCTATGTTTGAAATGTTTCTTGTCTTCCGTAGCTTTCAGCTGCAATTCCATAACATGACTACAACAGCGACAAAAAAACGAAAAATGAACTCAGCCAGGGGGCTCCTCGAGGCCCCCTGGCCCCACAAGGCCACCTGCAATGATTACTTCGTTAAGAACGTGAGAGAGACATTAAAACGACGTGAAGGTAAAAACGGACAATACGCTCTTAGAAAAAGGACTTTAGAAATGATGAATGAAGGCGGCATTCTAGCGGCGTCGCCCGCAAGGCTGCACAACGCACTTTCACAGACGCCGTCGGGAAAGGTGCCACCACCTCGACGTGGTAGGGGCACGTCGAGATGCCGGCAGCTCCCTCTCTTAAAAGAGCACGCTATTTGCCGTGCTCTCTGACCTGCCGGCAGCTGCCATCTCGCGGATTTCGGTGAGCTGCCGGCAGGTTGCCGGCAACTGACATCGCGAAGTTGCCGGCAGCTCCTCCTGCGATTCCAGATATTTTACTAAAGGAGGAGTTCTGGAGCCGCAGACTTTTATGAAGTTTTCTACAGAGTCGAGGCGGCATCTTTATCGAGAAAATTTTTTGGAAAAAGGCCTAGGACGGCCTAAATTTGGGGTCTCTCTTTCTGGCCACTTCACGGAAAAGGTGCCAGCGAGCTGCCAACCAGACCTGCCGCCAGGTCGGGGGGATTACTACCGGCCCAGGTATCAAGACAGATCGCATATCAGCATAGAAACAAGAAAAATGCCAATCCGCTGCTACAGAAACGGAAAATTATGAGATGCAGTGATAAAAACAAGGCCTACGATGTCGTGCGTGGCATGGTCCCTGCACGTTGGGCGGTAACGCTAGCGCGTAGATGTGTGACTGCACTACGCGGTGCTGGCCCTCGCTGAACGCGTACATATCTCGCAATAGTTTTTTGTTATCATCTTATGTTTGAAAGAACTTTCTTCAGCACATACTCCTACTTTTCAGCTTTTTGAATAGCAAAGAATCGAAAGTTAAAAATATTTCGTTACTTCAAGTTTACGGAACAGAAGCTGTCATTGAGCTCATTTTTCATAGCAAACATACAGCCTAAATGTCTATGCAGTACAAAAAAACCGTAACTATTCTATCTACAACAAATGCTTAATCTCAGCGTTAAATTTTCCTTCCATTCCCACACAATAACTATTTACTTTTCGCAAGTTTTCTCGAGCAATGCTAGGGCACTTCATTTCCTTTTCCTTTTCCAGCGGGTACTATCTATCCCCACAGTTGCTCCAGAATGATAGACATAAAGTGGAGAAGCTTAGAGTACCAACCCCGAAACAATGAAGGATGGGAACGCGAGCCTTTGACCTCTTCTACACGTTCCCTTGCTTGCCGTACGTTTGTCGCTATATCAATTTCCATCACAGAAGAGTTCACGACACTCAAGTTCAACTGCTGTATCCAACATCGAATAGACGCAAGTTCTAAAAAACTGAGCAACCAATCGCTTATCGGCTCATCTGGGCCATTTCGTTTTATTCCTCCAAACAGTCTAGCCATACTCGAATATCATCATCTCCTCACTAACTTCATTGCTTTTCCAAAATGTCCACGAGCAACTTATGACTACATCTAGAGATAGTCAACATTTCGCACTTCTTCGGATAGTTGAGACTTAAGGCTCCTGAAGATTGCACTTCATCATCTTCTTCATCACTAAATGATCCATTCATCTGGGAACTTTTTCAAACTCTTCCATTTCCGAATAATAGTTTGGCTATTAAATAAGTTCGGTTGCTTTGCTGCTATTATAAACATACCTTCGAGAGTCTAGAGACAGGGCGTCAAAAGTGAAGGTTGTTTGAACATCTGTGTCATAAATAGTGAAGGTTGTTTAAAGAAGATCAGTGAAGAGAAAATGACGTAAAACAGATATAAAAAGCAAAAGAAACTGCTAAAAACTGGATAAAAACGCTGCATTGAAGTTTAAAATTTTTCATTTGGCGGCTTTTAAAATGCAAGTTTTCGCTCTAGGACCAGCAATTCGCAACAAGAGGTCTTGATTTTTGATACGTACTTTGAATTTTTACCTCCGCATTGACGTTCCTGTTACCTGGGACGTTGTCTGGATTGTTGCGCTTATTGTTCTGAGCAAGAATCGCCCAGGCTGGAAAAAGATCGAAGCGAAAGCACTGAAACAAAACAAGGTAAAGAAAAACGCACCTTTTACGATTTTTCGCAAAAAATTCCACCATAGTCGAAGAAATAAGGGATGGGCGGTTGTCTGCATTATGAACAGAAGCAAGATCTATAAAATGCATGAAAACAGGGTGAGTGACTTTTCATACGATGAGCAATTCCGAGGTGCGAGGTGTGAACACCTACGGCTAACAAGGGAAGGATACTCGGTCGAAGTGGCCATTTGGAATGAGCTGTATATTAGGAAACCGTCCTCCGTAAGGCAAACTCAAAACTACTTTTGCTAGGTGCCGAGCGGTTTTGTGCGGGGAGTTACAAGGCCATTTTCCTCCGGCGCAGCCAGCGCACCCAGTGATGAGCGAGGCGCTAGAATAGCGCAGCAATGTGGCAGTGGCGCAGTGGCAACGCAGCTGACTACGAAGCAGATGGTCGAGGGTTCGAGTCTTGTTGCTGCTACTTTGTTTTGCAGTTCTGTAAAAAGTCTACTGGGTGAGAGTAAACAAAAAATACTCATTTCTAGGCAGTTGAACAAGCTATTTACTGCAAAAAAGTCACTATTTCTACAATAAGCCATAATCTTCTACAATATGTAAATCTGTGGAGGTTATGATGTCACAACAATGGATTCAAATGATAAATTAACATGTACGGAATATAACCACAAAATGCTCAAAGAAGAAGAGCTTCTCGCAGCGCGCACACTTGCAAAATTGCAATCGATTCACATCCCATGTATTGGCTCTCGATCTGAACTTTACCTTGCATCATAGGGATTCCATCCTTAAGAATGGCTCATTTACACCAGTTTTGTTCGCCGCGATTCAAAATTTTCCTTTCATACCCATGGCATGCAGCCGTATACATTGACAACCACCCCGGCGAATTCGAGTCTCCTATTGAGTACTGTTTCACCGACTTTGATAGGCAATTGTGAAGCTGCTGATTGTCATCGTTTATATTTCATCCGATGTGCGCGCTGCGAGAAGCTCTTCTACTTTGAGCATTTTGTGGTTGTATTCCATACATGTTAATATATCATTTGAATCCATTGTTGTGACATCATAACCTCCACAGATTTACATATTGTAGAAGATTATGGCTTATTGTAGAAATAGTTTTTTGCAGTAAATAGCTTGTTTCAACTGCCTAGAAATGAGTATTTTTCGTTTACTCTCACCCAATAGACTTTTTACAGGACTGCAAAACAAAATAGCAGCAACAAGACTCGAACCCTCGACCATCTGCTTCGTAGTCCGCTGCGTTGCCACTGCGCCACTGTCACACTGATGCGTTACTCTAGCGCCTCGCTCATCACTGGGTGCGCTGGCTGCGCCGGAGGAAAATGGCCTTGTAACTCCCCCCACAAAACCGCTCGGCACCTAGCAAAAGTAGTTTTGAGTTTGCCTTACGGAGGACGGTTTCCTAATATACAGCGCATTCCAAATGGCCACTTCGACCGAGTATCCTTCCCTTGTAAGTGTCAAGTCTCGCACCTCCTGTCTAGTATACTGTAGAGAGGGGGGGGGGGAGGGGGACTTTTCATACGAATGCCTTCACATCATCTTTTGGCAAAGATCCAGTGAAAACTGGCACCATGCCAGGTTTGGGGCTGCTGGCTCCATTCCAAAAAAAATCTAGATTAGCTTTTGCAGTATCGCAAATTTGGATAAATTTGGAAAACTTGAATACCGTATGGATTCAAAAATTTTGCTGTGGAAAATAACACCATGATCGTCTCACTTACGAATTTTTTAGTATTCAAGTCGACATAATTCGGTCTCTTTTGCAAACGTTTTGAACTGATTTGAGTATTGTCACATGCCTCTCCGACCTTTCAGCATGACCTGGAAGTGTCGCTCTTCCCATAGGGGATATTGGAGGAGGAAGACGGTCAAGAGGCGCGATTTTTCTGGGTATCATCAACTTAGAACTCCAGTTTCATGCTATGGGAAAATTCAAAAAAGTGCCGGACAAAGTTTACTGGCTTACTAGCTGTATGAAGTAACCACTTGATAAGTTTGACGGCTTCTGCTAGAAAACTGACAGAAATATTTACGAATTGCTATTAACTGCATTTATTTGCGTTTTTGATCTTTAACAATCTTGTTTGAAATCAATTTTCAAGATGATGACATTGAACAATCCTTAAATTCAATAATATATCTCTTTCGAAGTCTCAAGTAATTCTAGGACTTCATAAAATACTAAATATGTGCTATATGCTGGCCGTCTGGCAATAGGAATCGCGCCTCTTGACATATCTACACCCACTAAAGGGCATGCGACTCGATAAAGCGAACTATTCATTACCGCAATCGTGCCAGTTGTTTGCGAAAATGAATTCGCTGTGGCCTTACAATCTTTACTATGATACGTTTTTTCAACCCGAAAAGCTTTATACAACAGATAAAATCAAGATATTCTTTAGTTTACGCATTTTTGATAATCATTTTAGTCCATTGTAATCAATAACTGGACGTATTACCAGCACCCTAGCATACGCTAGAAGGTCAAAGTGATCGGGAAGCGTTCGTATGAAAAGTCCCCCCCCCCCCCCATGAAAACACCGCGTAAAAAGAGTTGAACTAGAAGAAAAACAAGAGATTTTCCAAAACAAGGTTTTTGCCGGATTTCTCGATCAAATTAAACAATGTGGTTTTGGGACGTTGCGTGAAAATAGAGATCAAGAGCTTTAAAATGATATATAGCTTGCTTAAATTGGGTTCGAGACAGCGAATACGCCAAATGCCCCGCGTCCCGCGTTTGGGGTAGTGAGATAGCGCGCAGCGTGCGAAGACGCAGACGAGCAGCGGAGACAGACCAGAGCCGATGGGGCATTTGGCTCTAGTCGCAGATCTCCGCAGGCTCTCAACGAAACTTTGCAACATTATATATCATTCGGATCGTCATAAAACGGCGAGGAGAACTGACAATGTCCCATGCTTTGAAAATCACTCATTAACGAGATAGGTCAGCGTTTTCGTGCGCGACTCTCTGCGCAAGTTTAAGTTTCAGTTTCTTGTTTTTATTCAACTCCAATAGCTTTTCTAAACTTCTGAAACTCGATTTTGGTCAAACGAGAGATTAAGTGAGAAATCTTGCCCTGAATTTTGCGAAAATTCCGAAGAAACCTTCTTTTTAACGTTAAAAAAGGCTATGAAAACGCAAATTCTCGGTTTCGCTGAGGTAAGCTAAAGATATTATTCCCTGTATTTGCTTCATTAACATTCGCTCCGATATAGTAAGGATAAATCCGGGGCGAAGCCCCGGATGACTTCTGTTTTTTACCAGTGGCCGTATTCATCAACGAAACCCGTAGGTTCCGGAACCCACTGGCTTAGTGTTTTTGATGAATATCGATTCTACTCCAGGGAAGAATCGATATTCATCAAAAGCACTAACACAGTGGGTTCCGCAACCCACGGGTTTCGTTGATGAATACGACCGCAGGTGAAGGTTGTGTCCCCTCATAGCTCTTAAAGCGAAGGTTACCAGAGTACGTGGCTCTCTGTATCGAGTTTATGATTACAAATGCTGCAGACAAATTTTTGTCCAGTGTTTGATACTCTGAAAAAAGCACTTCAGTGGGTATTGAAAAGTAAACTCTGTTTGAGTAGAACTTATCTTCCAAGGAGAAAAATCCGCGAAGAAGTGAGAAACTCCAATTTTTTTACAGTGCGCAAATATGAGAAAAATGTTTTTTCTAATAAAAAAAAGTTTCAAAATGGCAATTCACGATTTCCATTGTTATTCGATGAACAAGGAAGCTATTCTGTATCCAAATACCAAACTGCTGTTCAAATCCATTACAGCATGAGAACGAAGCTTAGGACAAAGAATTGAGCTTTTGAGAATTTAGCCATGTTGAGGCATAATTGTCTTTACTGATGGTAGAAAATCCTGAATATTTGATATGTGATAGAAGAAGCTTTAGACTGCTTTCTCATAGGAGACATGGGTAAAAAAACAAGAAAAATTTTTATGAAGATTTGCATGCCGAGTCGAACTTAATTTTAGCCAACCTATTACTATCAATGACTACACCTTCTAAAGCATCACTCTGAATTTTGCCTTTTAAGATCACATAGCCAACTAGTTAACCTTTTTGGTAGCAGCAATGACAGCGGTACGGCAGTGACCCCAATAAAAGGGAGGTTATAGCTGGAGTAAGTTGCAAATCTTACGATAATATTCGCTGCAGCAGATGCTAGAAAATCGATGTTGGTAAAGAGCAAATAGTTCTCTGAAATTAGTCTTTTGCTGATAATTGACCGCCTCATGGGAAACAAGCTAATTCAAATAAAAGCTACACATTACAGCAGCCTCATGCAAGTATCCATGCATGTTTGTGGTTGCTTTAAAAGCCAATTTTGAAGGCTTTTATTATGTAAGAGTGAAGATCCGTAGATGCAGATTAGGAAAAATAGACCAGATCTTGCTGAAGGGTTCATCTTAAAGAGAAGTTCAAATTACGCCGAATACGTTGGAACATCGAAAAACTTCATACGATATGATTAAGTTGATTGTGATGTGGTACAAAAAAGGCTTTGATTTCGTGTGTTAGTAGTATGATATCTGAAAATCTCAAAATTGACTATGTGGGTCATAAGCAGGGTCAAGCGGGGAGTGTGGCACACGACCGTCGGATACGACCCCCCCCCCCCCCTCCCTTGGACTGACCCCGGCACGACCTCCCACCATTCCCTACCCCCGCTCCCTTTCCTCCTACGTCGCCCCTAGTATTTGCTATGCTACAATATAAAATAGTAGAAAACGAAGAAAGAAGGGAACCTCAATCTGGACTCGACTACTGCGAGTCATATCAACTCTTCCAATGCTCCTTGCTGTTCTTTAGCCTCCTTGAAGAACAATGAGTTGCGAGAAGATTCCATAAAAACACATTTCCATAAAAACACAAATCTGAGCTGAGAACTACTGATATCGTGGGAACTAGCATTTCAAACATTTTGCAGAGATAAAGAACACGCCAAAGTTGATCCTCTTGATCCGCATGATCGCGAATCAATTGGATTTTCTATCCTTATACTTTCACAATCTCATGTTGAAAGATCAAGCTTACATATTCCCTGATGGGTGTTTTGATACAGTCTCATGATATAAAAACGTTGACACAGGATAAGTCAAATGGACACAAAGGTTTGGCTTTCGACGTAATACTTCTATCCTTTGAAAAAAGGCAGCAAATTTCAGAGAGGAGGTTACTCCGAGGAATATGATGTAATCAAATCGATGGTCTGTGGTGAATGACAAGTTAGAAACTCAGTCGCAGACATGCGTGAGTATATTGCGAAAATATGCCAAGTTCAATCCACGTTCTTTAGCAAGAATGATTTCACTTGTATGCTGCTTAGAACCTTCCAAATAAAAGTCAGAAGAAAAAAAGTACTCACAAAAGAAACTTGGAAACTTAGCAAAATATGGTGAAAATGAGAAAAAAGAGAATCTAAGCAGCTAACTCCTTTTTGATTGCAGGTTGTGGTTGGTAGTTCTTCAGTATAATCTTGTCGCACGTGAAGTCATCAATGCTTTTGATTTCATCGCTTTTCGTTTCAACTGGCATTACAAATACACCTTCAGCACTAATCTCCACTTTTACCTGTGTTTGGAGTGCTTCGATGTGATTCACATAGATATGCGCATCACCAAGAGTGTGAACGAGATCGCCAGTCTAGAATAAATATGAATTAGTCAGACCTATGACTTTCAAACACTGAAGCTAATCGATTAAGAAACCACGTATTACAAAGTGGCATGCGCCAAGAATCAAAAATCGCCCACCTTCAGACCATTAACATGTGCAGTCATATGAGTAAAGAGACCATGGCTGCAGATGTTAAATGGTACACCATTTCTGGGAGGAATCAACAACTCAGACTGTAAATTTGTCGTTCCATTATTCTTAAAAGGTCTCTTAGTTAGGAAGTTCTCACATAAGGAAACCAACGAAAAGGAGTACAAATTCTAAGACTGTCGCAGATCAATGCAAAGCATCTCCGAATTATCCAGCTTGCCGCCTTTCTGCATTGTTTACGCAATAGCGCAGAAAGGCGGCAAGATGAATAGTTGGTGCTACCGTAATCCGATATTTTGGCAGGCGCACGATGGATGGTAAGTAGTAAAAAAAGCGCTATATCTCATTCTGTGCGGGAAAGTTTTGGATGAAAATCTTACTATGAAGAGAAGAAGGTTGAGCTGTAAAAACGACATAAAAATTGTAGACATTCGACGGCTTTGAGGGTAAGTTAATGGGGGTGCGGCACACCCCCTTAAAAGCTGCGGCGGCCGCAGCTTTCAAGGGGGTGTGCCGCAACCCATTAACTATATCAAAAACATTTTTAGCGAACAGTATTTAAATGAATCGACAGCCTAAACCTTGTAGATTCCATAGGACTGTTTTGAGCCTGATTAGTCTTCTTAGCTCTGAGTAATATTTGGTGAAGGCACAGCGATCAAAAGCGAAAAATGGGAAAAACGAGATTTTGGTTGGCTTTACACAGTTTGGAGGTCTTCTGAAGCGGGATTCCTGAAGTGGACGAAGAAGGAGTAGTGCTTTGTCTTGAGTGCAAAAACGGAAAGCTAATTCACCTTTGAAACAAAGTTAACCATGTTGGAATTCAACCATTTCACTTAGGTAGCCTAGTATCTTGAATCTTCGGAATTCGCTCACACTTTGTCTACTGGGGTTAATTGAAATGCTAATTATGGATATGATACGAATATCATGTTATCGCTATTATCAGATTACCCAACTACGACTCCCTCCCCTTTTGACTCCTCAATACGACCCCCAGGTGTGGCGTGCCACACCCCACGCTTGACCCTGGTCATAAGGCTCAAAAAGGCAATATCAGGAGCTGCTGACTAGTGAAGCACGAAGTCGTGTTATCCAACATCTTATTGTATAGTTGCTAGATTAATAACAAGTACCCAAACTTCGAAAAGAAAATTCTCTAGCAGGTACGGAAGGAAACTTTGTACTCAAATTTTCTCAAAATGACAATGTATCAAAAATGTCATCTCCAGTTCTTCTTATGTCCTTAATTTATCCCGCTAATCGTTAACAAACAGTTCTGTAGCAACGGATTCTTCTCATGCCATCATAGTGATGATTTGGCTGCCAACTTCATTACAGCTAAGTGTTAGCTCGATGGGATAAAGGCAAAGCGCTTGGTTGATTACACAATTTTCAGCTTCAATGTGTAGTGAACAAAATGCCGACAATGGTAAAGAGCGGGATGAGTTTCAATAAACGACTGTTGCGATTTGGGAGGAGTTTGGGGAATTGAGAGGTAAAAGAGTTTGGGCAATGCTCAAATCGGTTGTTCCATGAATGTCAATCTTTCCAGTTTGTAACAACTACAATTGTTAGACTTTTGGACACTCAAGATATCACTTCTGACAGCCTAGATATAAGACGTTTCAATTCTTTCAGAATTACGTTTTTTCAAACATTTTCATCTCTGTAGTTGAGGAGAATTTTTGTTAAAAAAAAGATGTTTCCCAAATCAATAAAGTGACTTCATATGAAAAAGGTGCAGTTCTACAGCTTTCTACAACTTCTCACTATTAGGCCTAAGGCATACCTCACGCGATTCTAGTCGCCGCGCGATTTGGCACTGCAACGACTCTCCATAGCTGGTCGTACACGCACTTTGCTTGGGCCAGACTTGCTGTGTTTGTTACAGTTTACGGGATCTACGCACCCATGATCTGAGAGTCTCGCATGCTTAATCTCTAGACATCTGGCAAATCGCCAAGTCGCGAGGATGTGGCGATTTCGCGTAATCGCGAGAGGTATGCCTTAGGCCTTACATGCCTTATTGCTTATCAAGAACATTTACCTAAAGGCAGTGTCCAGGCAAATCTGGGTTGGAGATGGATTCCTCAGCCGTGAATGACTTACCTGCGCTGACGTTTGAGCAGTGCCTTGGTTTAGAATTTTCATCTTTAGATCACCCACCTTGATGGGCGGATGGGGCATTTCTCTTGCTTTGTATTTCATCTTTTGCAACGGGACTTGAGCGCTTACTTATTAGTTAGATATCCCGGTATTATACAATTTTTGGGTGGACGAGTGCCTCCAAGTGGCACAAGTATATAAAGAAAACATGTTTGTTGACACTGCTACTGCGTAGGCGGTACCTTTCAGAAAAAGCTTCGGATATTGTGTTAGTGCTTGTATGTACAGTGGTGAGGTAGAAAGGCTTCTCCAGATGCTAAGCCTCATCGCGTGAAGACATTGTTCCCAGAGCACTTGTGTACTCAAAGCTTCTCATAATGCACTTCATTCGCAGCATATCATTTCCAACAAAACTTAGATTTTCTAGAACGTTCTTGAAGGACGACGTAACATACTTGTATGACTCATTATTCTCACCATTTAATCCTGCTTCCTTATTGCTTTTGTCAAGCTTCTGGCTCTCTAATTGCACAACGCATACAGTAGCTTCGTCTGCCAATTAAGGAGAACATTATTTGGTGCATTAGCAACAGGCTGGACAAATATTGTCGTAAGCTGTAAATTACGAACGGAACCACCTGCTACTGCGCAATCCAAGGACATCAGGTTCCATTCAAGGATGATGCCGCACCGCTAAATCTTTGCGAAAAACCAAGCATTAATAGGTTACATTCTTTCAACAGGAATTTTGATACTGACACTCAATGACGATTTTTTTGCAACCCTATGTGAATTTACATCACAATAAAATTTGTTCCCGCGGTTGCGCCTGAGCTTCGTAACTCCGAGGACCAGCCAAAGTTCAAGGAACCTGAATGGACAGTTACCAAGCTTTTTCAAAGTTCTGGTGTTGTTTTGAGTTTTGGAGTAGGAGAGTTTTGAAGCTTCAAATCATTTAAATTTCAGTATTCGGCTTTACAGCATAGTTCTCATTTGCGTCACGCAGTGACTCTACTAATTTTACCAGTGACAGACTAACTTATAGAGATTAACTCAAAAAAATCAACGGTCAGCTTTTAGAAATCTCAAACCCTGCGGTAAACATCACAAAACAAATGGCGGGTTCAATTGAATACCAACCGTTTTATTGAATACGACGCCAAATTGTGACCATTTTGAGAGAGAGAGAAAAAGAGAGAGAGAGAGAGAAAGAAAGAGATTGGGTTTTTTTGCAACCCCTTTTACTGCCAGCTACCATGGCTGTAATACCGCTCTAATTTGTGATCACTGCACTCCGCCGGAGTCCGCCAAACTTCGCGTCGCGTCGCCATACTTTGCTTCAAAGTCGGCCACTTCTGACAAGGGCAAAGTTCAAATGAGCTTGACGAGGTGCATCATCTGATGTATAAAAATTGACAGTTTGGGCACGGGAGTCGTTCATATTTCACGGATCTTTCCAGATTTTTGCTCGCTGTAGGTTGCTCAGCGTGCTTATCATTGCAGAAGAGTGACCAAGCAAAAAATGGGAAATCTGTAAAATTTGACAGACTGCCGCGCCCAAACAGGCACTTCTATTACTCAGAAGATACATCTTGTGGATTGAATTGAGCGGTGCCTTTGGATTCAGAATTTGTCGCTCCCTGAATCAAGATATGGCGATGCGATGCGAAACTCGGCAGAGCTTCTTCTACAAACTACGAACGGTATTCTGAAAAGATGTTTCACCTTTTGATAGCATATCAGATGACCTAGAATGCAGACAAGAAAAGCTGTTAAGAGGTGCAACACGAGGCATAACGAGCTTTTATCGGATTACGGTGACGAGATGTTCGAGTTGCATCACCCATGTGATAGCTGAATTTCGAAGCTGATGAGTTTGTGGCAAAGCACAATGGACGGTTATTAACAACTATCTGGGTAGTCACGAAGTTCATGGGAACATCACAAGCAAACGAGCAGAAGCGTCATGTGGCCAAAGATAGAAAAAATTCAACATCTTCAGAGCTTCCGCCAGACTTCGCACAAAAGTGGCCAAAAGCCCCCAAATTGCTCTAATGTCATCTTCAGTTTCTCGTATGAGGAGAATGAGAGAAAGTGAAGAGAGGTTAGAAAAATATAGGCGCTTTTGGGTTCTATTGAGCGAAGTCTGGCCGGGTTCTAACAGTTGCTTCTATGCGGATTTGACATTTTGGTATAAATAAACGGCCAACATTCGTGACATAACTTGACACTTCTCCTTTTTATGCTTTTGTTGTAATGATTCTCTTTGCTTCAACACATTCACGGCAATACTACACTGGTGGGTCGTACGTGTTCTGCCGTTTCGGACAATACGACCCCCAGGGTCGTAATTTTGACAAATCGAAAGGCTCTGGTCCGAAACGGCAGTGGAAAAATCGGCCTTGGTCGTATTGTCGTAAATGTGTTAACACATTTACGACAATACGACCCACCGGTGGGTCGTTCCTGTTCTGCCGTTTTGGACAATACGACCCACCGTGGGTCGTAAGATTCCTGAAGCCATAGCTTTGCCAGCATAACGATGGAATTCTACGGAGTTCTGGCATATGATTGGGAACACCTCATAGAAGCTTCAGCCGGAGTGGTCAGGGCTCGGGATACTGTAATGTAATGTTAAGGTAGGCATACCGTAGATAGATGTAAGGCACACACCTTAACTCAAATTCTTTTGAATGGTGCTGCTTCCTGAAAATCAGTGCACATGCACGAGTAGTACGGGGCGGGCAAGAGACTGACGATAGCCCACCAAAAAATTATCGATTTTATTGATTTTATTGAATTTTTGCGTTGTTCACCCCAGGAAGCTCGAACTTCACATACATAGATTTTGTAGCATGCTGATTACGAAAATGATAGTCTCAGGTTCTAATACCACCTTCTTACATTCAGTTCCTCAAATTCGACCGTACTGCTACCGCAGCCCAACTGTGAGACAGTAGTGAACAAAGTGGATACTATAGCCGTGACCAGCACGTCAAATAACCCCAAAACACAATTATTCATGGGAATCCATGATATTAGATTTGTACAGAATGACTACCGTAACCTTACCGTATAATGTTGTAAACTGAATTAAAACATATTCTGGTAATCAGCGCCTTCAATAACCCTTGTGGGAAAATTCTCGGAGACATGTTTAAAATTTTTTCGAAAAGACTACCACTTCGGACAATACGACCAGGGTCAAGCGGGGGGTGTGGCACACGACCGTCGGATACGACCCCCCCCCTGGGCCGGACTCCCGCACGACCCCCTCCCCCATTACCTACCCCCCCCCCCCTTCCACTCCCCCTCCCCTCGCTCCTGAGCTTCACAGCTTCACAACGTGCTTTTTGCGACTTACAACAAATTTGTATTCTTTATTTCAGAAGAAATAGCAAGAGAAAGGAACCGCGAAAAAAAGTTTAAAATTGAAAAATTCTGCTAATTATTCAGGTCGATGATAGAGATGCTGAGCACTGAACAGATTGCACAACCCACTCTGTATCACACTATTGGAAGAGAGAGAACAGGGCAATCAAAGCGTCCTTAAGTGAAAAGATACACTCACTGAAAAAAAAACATACACCCCGCACTTTACCTCTTCGTCAGTCAACTAGAGCATTGCTTTGGCAAAATGTTCACCAATTACGCGCATTTCCAACTTGAGCAAAGCAGCGCGGATAAGCTCGAGTCTAAAACATCAAAGTAACGGATGTGAAGAGTTTTAGAGTATAGAAACCAACCGATGTTGTATGCTAGATGTCGGAAGACAGGAAGTGACTTATCTGGAACATATGTGTTCGTGCCTCCATCAACATCGTGGCACCCTGAAGCAAGATCATGAAAAGTCACCCTGAAATAGAAGAAAAATGATCTATGGTAATTTTATCACCAAGTTTCCACTTTGTTCTAAGATGCGATAATCATGAAATTGCAAAAAAACGAAAAAGGTAACTGACGAAACAAAATGATTCTACGGTATTAACTAAAAGCATTTCTTACCGGCCATAAAGGCGGCAGAACTGAACGAGGACCTCCGGGATGTATTGTGATACAAAGGGAGCAAACTGATCAAGAACTCGTTGGGTACAGGTCAATGCACAGATCTAGAAGATATTATCAAATCAAAAGCATAAAACTATTTTTTAAATCAAAGGCATAAAATGACATTACGCAAATACTTACCAAAAACGTTGAGCTGCCGAGCTTTTTCCTACTCAAGGACTGTTGTCGAACGCGACGACGCTTGCTAGCCGCATCTTCCGACTGATCTGAAAAGTCGATTGGACTCTGAAAAAAAAAGACGACGGATACTAGCCGGACGGATAGACGGATAGTAGCAAGTTAAAAGAAATTTAGATGTCTTCAAAGATACCTTTTGACTAGAGTAACACTCATTGAGGATACTAAGACAAGCTTTTAGCAATGGAATTGCAGACACCATAGTTGTTCTATTGTGTGACCTGCAACATAGCAGGAAAACTAGGTCATACAAACAAAGAGGAAAATTACTACGTACCTGATTAGCTCTCCACCAAGAAGCAGTGCATTTCCCACCAACGATTTTTCAAGCGTTTGATACTCAGCCACCTAAATAAAAGAATAATGAATGATAAACCTAAGTTATTCTCAGAACTGACGATGTCCCTGCATTTGTTCATTGTTTCAACGAGAACTGACGAATCTGTGCGACATGAAAGACGTTTCGCGATCAACTTCAGAGTAAAAGCGTCATTCTGACAAAGTGTGATCTAAAATGTCAACATGATAAGTAACCAGAAGATTGTTTTGGCTATTGTTTTGCTGAGCATGCAATCCACCAATCCATCTTACTTATGGGCATCATCGAACTTCCAGAATAAAAAAAAAGCAGAAAAGAAAGAAACTGAGACTGCCATCATAACTTATAATAACGGGCTAAGGATGTTTACGTGACTTTGTGTGTGTGTGTGTGTGTGTGAGAGTGTGTCTGTTACAAAATTCGTGGAGCGTGTTCCAGCCAGAGTTCTAAGCCCAAATTTTGTATAGCGCATGCTACCTTCATGAAAGTCCAACATGCAAAAGCACGAGTAGATTCGTTGAGTGGATCCCTCAGAAATTGCGCGCCAAACGGGTCCACCTGGCTTCTGTACCGCAAAATTCGGTCCGTATCACCACTTTTTGCAGAGTCGTGGATGAGTTTGGTAAGCAAATATGCAAGCGATGGAGTTTAGCCAGAAAAGTGGTCGGAAGTTTATTACATAACGAAAACGGCGCCAAAACGAATTGGTTGTGTGAATGGTCAATTTGCCAAGGTTCTAGCTAAGCGTTTGAGAAGATTTTCGCACAGAGATGTAGCTCACGGTTATCATTACCTCTATGGCGACCACCAAATCATGACAAATCCAAAAACCTATTCAAATTTGCGTTTGTCTTCCTGCGAAAAGTTTCATCCACGCGAAATCACCGATCTCACGTGAAAAAACTTTCTAAATGAGTGGTTGTTTACATTTTATTCGTGGTAGTCGGCATAGCGCGGTGAGTTCCAGTGCCACGATTTTACGAGAATGAGTAAGGCACATAGATAGTAGAGCCAGTGCGAACCTCTGCGAAGCAGAGGTGACGCACTGGTATGTATATAAGCTGCTAAGAACGACGATAAAGGTAACAAAAATATCAGCAAAACAGAAATCAACCTACTTTGATGATCAACAGGCATTTCCAGCTGTATTGAGGATGAACCAGGAAAAAGTGCTTTCGACGAGATTCCGATGTCTACGGGTTCCAGCTCATTCCTTTTTGCTACTACTTCTTCCACGAGAAGTTGCAATGACTGGACATCCATGGTCTGAAAGCAGACACAATAACATGGCGACAGATTTATGATGATCGCTGACGCTCATTATAATCGTACGGCTTGTGCGAATAGATCGAAACTTTCTTTGAAAAAGATGGCGGAAACTGCCGCCATCAATACATTTCGAAATTATATCGTATTGAGAAATGAGATATAAAAGCACACTCTATAGCCTGCCCAAATCAGTACAGCTAGTGAGCAAAGAAAAGCTTACTCTTTTAAATGTCAGACTGCATCAAGAAACAAAAAAGATCCCTCTAATTATGAGAAACCAAGCGTTAAGCGTCATTCAATCTTTGGGAGGAATCAACAACTCAGACTGTAAATTTGTCGTTCCATTATCCTCAAAAGGTCTCTTAATTAGGAAGTTTTCATATAAGGAAACCAACGAAAAGGAGTACAAATTCTAAAACTGTCGCAGAACAATCCAAAGCATCTCCGCATTATTCAGTTTGCCGCTTTCTGCATTGTCTACGCAATAGCACAGAAAGGCGGCAAGATGAATAGATGGTGCTACCGTAACCCGATATTTTGGCAGCCGCACGATGGATGGTAGGTAGTAGAAAAAGAGCTATATCTCATTCTGTGCGGGAAAGTTTTGGACGAAAATCTTACTATGAAGAGAGGAAGGTTGAGCTGTAAAAACGACATAAAAATTGTAGACATTCGACGGCTTTAAGGGTAAGTTAATGGGGTGCGGCACACTCCCTTAAAAGCTGCGGCGGCCGCAGCTTTTAAGGGGGTGTGCCGCACCCCATTAAGGGGGCCGTTTTTACAGCTCAACCTTCCTCTCTTCATAGTAAGATTTTAACCCCATTAACCCCATTAACCCCATTAACTTACCCATTAACTATATCAAAAAACATTTTTAGCGGGCAGTATTTATATGAATCGTAGCCTAAACCTTGTAGATTCCATAGGACTGTTTTTTGAGCCTGATTCGTCTTCTTAGCTCTGAGTAATATTTGGTGAAAGCACAGCGAACAAAAGCGAAAAACGGGAAAAACGAGATTTTATTGGCTTTTAATTCCACAGTTTGGAGGTCTTCTGAAGCGGGATTCCTGAAGTGGACAAAGAAGCAGTAATGCTTTGTCTTGAGTGCAAAAACGGATAGCTAATTCACCTTTGAAACAAAGTTAACCATGTTGGAATTTAACCATTTCACTTAGGTAGCCTAGTATATTGAATCTTCAGAATTCGCTCACACTTTATCTACAGGGGTTAATTGACATGCTAATTATGGATATGATACGAATATCATGTTATCGCTGCTACCAGGTTACCCAACTACGACCCCCTCCCCTTTTGACTCCTCATTATGACCCCCCAGGTGTGGCGTGCCGCACCCTCCGCTTTACCCTGAATACGACACACGGGTGGGTCGTAAGTTTGACATAGCGAAAAAGCCTCTGATCCGAAACGGCAGTATTGAAAAATCGGGCATGTCGTGAATGTGTCAACATATCGTCACCCTCCCTCACTTGCCATTGTCCTGATACTTCTTCCTTCTCAGGGACCATTCACCATGAACTGAGGAACACTTAGGGCCACATGCACTAACATGGCCGCGGGGAGGGGATCGCAGCTTAGAAGAAAGCTTACCGCATTTTCCAGCTCTTGTATGATCCCTGACGATCCCCGGCGCTTTTCTTCAAAGCCATTTTTCTTTCTCCGAAGTTAACGAAAACCTTCCAAAGTTGTACTGAACATCTAACACAACAGTGCTAAGCACGTTGCTGATGAGAACAAATGAGCTTTAGAAAAATCGAATTTTTCGGTAAATCCCAAATTTCGACCTGTGGACCATCGAAAATTTCATGACTTCAAAACATCATTTGTTCTTATCAGCAGCATGCTAACCACTGTTGGGTTAGATAATCTGCACAACTTTGGAAGTTTTTCGGTAACTTTGAAAAAAGAAAAATGACTTCAAAGAAAAGCGCAGGGGATCATCAGGGATCATACAAAAGCTGGAAAATGCGGTTTGTACAGCTTCCTTCTCCTGGTCAACATGTTCATGGTGAAGGATAGTAGGAATACTTACGGATAGGTACACAACGTGAAATCCAGATATCTGGAGTTTCCAAATATGAAGCTTTCTTCTAAGCTGCGATCCCCTCCCCGCGGCCATGTTAGTGCATGCGGCCCTTAGTATCATAATATCGTGCCAGACAAACGATGAGCCGCTGAAGGTCATTAAGTCTCATCTATAGACAACATCTCTCGATCCTCTCAGACAATTCAACGAGGTTTTCCGCAGGGCAAGCATTATTTGCAACTGTTCCGCAAGAAGCTCTTTACTATAACAAATGTGGAAAGTTGAAAAGGCTATTTCCGCAAGACTTTCGCGTCAGACTGATTGAAAAAGGGAAGTTCCGCACGACTCATAACGCTGCGAAAAATCTGAAAAATCCCAGCGGTTACGCAGCACATTGACCTGCCAGTACTTCCACAGTTTTTGAATGTGTCGTCTTACGGTGTTGTCTCGCCAACAGCTAGAGTGCATTATGGAACTGTCATTCTTTTCACATCTGTGACGGCATAGATGTGGCCGTACTTGTAAGATTTCGTTAAGGGACGTCAGTCTGCGCCGTGACTTCTCAGTCTTTACCTCTTCATGTTGTCCGTTTCGTGCACCGTCGCGGCGAGCCACACATGGATCATATCCTGCAAAGCGCCCTTCCAGGCGCAGGTTTGTTCTTTGTTTCCGAGTTGTTACCTTATTGTTAGAAGCGTCGTGCATTCCAGTATTGGGGTTTGGGCATACAGCGATTTTAGCCGCGAAGCGACTCAATAATACTCCAGTTACTTAAAGCTCGTCATAAGCGCATTCTGAATAAGTGGAAGGTGGGACATTTTATCCTGCGAAAGTTGTATAGGTCATTTCTATAACCGTGACAACGGATTCGACTGCAGTATTTGCCTACAAGATCATAAAACATTCGTACGAAAAGGTATCACCTCAACGCTCAATCAGTCACTTCCAGTGTCTTGATACTATCGTACGTAAGCAGAAAACTATTAAGTAAAGATGAAAAGCAAAAAACTGCGGTTGCCGGAAGTGCGTGCGCGTCGCGGTGCGGTGCGCTATCGTCGCGATTTTTCGAATGCACTAAATATAATGCGAATTTGTAATTCGCAGGCGTTGGATTCAAAGAGATGTGGCAGATTGCTAGATCGCGTTGCGACTGAAATCGCGTGAGGTTTGCCCGGTTACTTTTTGATACTTACCATAATGAACCCCCTCCCCCCTATCAAGCCAACTTTGAACATGTATGAGCTTTTGGTCGGGAAATAGATTGCGTTAGCCTTGTTTCTTTGTTTCCTTTACTTTTTCTTAATTTTATCACTTTATGTCGAGACTAATTGCTAATGACAAAATGCCGATTGAGCTCCTTTAAAGACTCATATCAACGATTTCCAATAAATAGACTATCTGTTAGTAAACCATTTGATTAGCTCGATTTCAGATTCTGGCTCTTGTCGTTTTTACACTCCAGTTTGATTAACAGCCTGCTTCAAAATTTCTCAGCAAATAGCAAGAGTATCTTTTTGAGCCCAAAAAAACTTCAAAGAGCTCGGGCATTTTTGAGACCTATCACTTGAAATTCCTGAACATCACGCTCATATTATTCGCTTGAAATGCCGCTCTTACTAATCCCTGGTCTAAATATCTATCACGAATCCCTTGCCTAAATTTCTAGTTTGAACGTCAAGTAAATGGTGGATAGAGTGCCATTTAGTTCAACTGGCTTGGCATCGGCAAGGGCGGGGCTTCGTGACCTAATTAAAGCTAGGTAATGATCAGAGGGCACTCGCGCGAAAGAGACGCAGGTGCGTCGCAGGTGCGAGCGGCCCCAGTTAGATCACAAAACCCCGCCCTAATGGTGCCAAGTCAGTTGAATCAAATGTTACTTTTCGACTCTCCTCAGACCTTCCAGATTTTTTTGGCTACTACCTTAGTTAGGCTGCACTAATTGGAATTTATCTCCGTTACTGTTTTGCTCGTTTAAAGCTACACTTGTTTGACATTTTGAATCTTAGTGTCTGTCCATCTCAACATTTTATTGCCAATCAATTATGTTTTGACCTTTTATAAAGACACCAGTGCGTCACCTCTGCTTCGCAGAGGTTCGCACTGGCTCTACTATCTATGTGCCTTACTCAATCTCGTAAAATCGTGGCACTGGAACTCACCGCGCTATGCCGACTACCACGAATAAAATGTAAACACCACTCATTTAGAAAGCCTTTTCACGTGAGATCGGTGATTTCGAGTGGATGAAACTTTTCGCAGGAAGACAAACGCAAATTTGAATAGGTTTTTGGATTTGTCATGGCTTGGTAGTCGCCATAAAGGTAATGATAACCGTGAGCTACATCTTTGTGCGAAACATGGGCAAAATAGGGCCAGTGCGTCACCTCTGCTTCGCAGAGGCTCGCACTGGCCTTATTTTCTGTATGCGTTACTCATTCCCGCATAATAATGACATTGAAACTCACCGCGCTATGTAGGCTTAGGCTATCACGAATTCGTAAGCAACTACTCATTCGTAGAGGTTTTCCATGTGAGGTCGGTATTTTCGCATGGATAAAATCTTTCTTAGAAAAACAGATGCAAATTCGAATAGGCTTTCGGAATTTTTATGGATTGGTAGTCGCCGTAAGGACAATAAACATAGTGGGCTACACCTCTGTGCGAAAATCTTCTCAAATAATCAGGTAAAATCTTGAAAAATTGACCATCGAGCAATCAATACTTTTCGGCGTCGTTTTTGTAAAGTAGTAGACTTTTGATCCCTTTTTCGGAGCAAAGCCCATGGCTTGCACCCTGAGATGCTAAGCACATCCACGACTCTGCAAAAAGTGGTGAAAGTATGAAAGTGGATGATGATGCTTCGCAGAGGATCGCACTGGTCCTACTCTATAGTTTTTGAGCAATATCTCCTCTTGAGAAAGGCAAAGTGTGGTACGTCCACAGCAGGTAC